TTAAAACTATATAAATACGAGTCATTCTGAACTTACAATCTGAGTTAGGATTCATTCGTTATGTATATTAAATAAAAAATAAAAAATCACTTACAAATTTAGAAGAAAAGTAACACATACGTTTGCTTTACAACCTACTATCACCGTAATAATCTTCATTACCCATCAACAATTATTTAATATGCAAAACCAATCCGAATCTAACATCGATATGTCTGCTTCAGCTCAAGACGACTATACGTTGATTTCTAATAAAATAAATTTTGTACCATATTAAAGAAATGGATTCCTCTAATAATTCCAAAATCCAACAATATCTCTATGTCCGATACTGCAAACTCAAATACTAATCGTACTTTCTTAATTTCCAACTTGCGTTTACATTTCTTGGCCAATTACGTTCATAAAAGATTAATACATAATGACTTGATCCGGTGAATCAACTCCTGACTTAAGTTAGGCTATACTGAGTAAGATAATCAAATAAGTTTAATTTTACAGGGCCTAAGTTTAAATTTATAAGCTCATCAAAAGACTCAATTTTGGGCTACTGTTAAAGATAAATTGCCATCTTAGTATAATGGTTAGTACACATCGTTGTGGCCGATGAAATCCTAGTTCGATTCCAGGAGGTGGCACATTTCTTTTTAAATTTTTTTTGTCAAAACTTTCTATTCCTCTTATCCCTCTTTAACACCTACTAATCATCGATATTGTTTAACTATGACCTTACTCTTTTACCTCAAAAATAGTGTTTGCATTTTGTTTCGGTTAATAAGTTAACGGTTCTTGGCTGGGCGCTTAATTTTAACTTAGCGAATCCTTCCATTTGAAATAAATTATGAAAAAATAATTAATGATAAAGTATTATCCCAATTAAAAGTTTCAAACTTTTCATCGTTGAGCAAAAACAGCCGTATAACTTGAATGTAATGTACTATGTACCTTTTCTTTCTCCATTATTGAGGGATACTTTCAATTAAAAACTTGCAAAATAGTTTCAAATTACGTTTAAGTTTAGAAATATAATCGTACTTGAATTAGTACTCTTATTATTGAAGTAAAGCAACTTATAGAATAATTAATATCTAAAAATATAACCTCGTTTATTATATATAAAATACATACATCATAATTGTAAATGACAAAAAAAGATATATATCTAATACTAAAACGAGACTTTAAGCTAAAATACAGAAATGGATATGTATACATAATATAGAAATATAAAAAGATGAAGATAAAGAAATTTCATTAACAAAGAGGAGATGAAAAAAGAATCAGAAAAATAATATTTGAAGGTACCATGTTAAAGTAGAAATAGGGAATCATGAGATGAATTGCAATCCTTTTTTTTTAAAACAAACACACACACACACACACACACACACACATACGATTATAATGGATTCAATTAAAAGCAAACATTCTTTTCTTTATCAAAAACAAAAAATATAGATATGAAGATGTTTAAGTGATCATACGATGACTATTGAAATTATTTTTTTCAAATTGCAATTCTTTGTCAATCATTGTTAGAAATATATGCAAAAAAGTAAAATGATGTGACGTTGAATGATTAAATGAATAATAATAATGATAAAAAATGAATAAAATGTTCGTTTGAATCACAATTTGGAAATAGTTTCATAAAAGTCTTAATGTTAATCAATTTGGAGAATGAATAAAAATAGTTATATCCACAAATATCGTACAATATACTCATCTGCATATAATATTCATTAGGACAAGTTTAAGATAAGTAAAAAAAAATAATTAGTAATGTTTGAATTTGAATGAGGATGGGATAGCATCAAATATACAAACATGAAAAAAATAAAAAAATAAATCTTGAATTTTTTTTTACTATTATTTGACTATGTTTTTATTTGATATTTGATAATAATAATATTAATAATATATCTTTCTTAATAAAGAAAAGTATTTTTATTGTGTGTAATAATGTAATGATTAAAACCATATATTTCCAGTTGCTTGTGTGTTTGTTTTCCTTTTTCTTTTTCATTAAAGAAAAAAAATTGTATAAGTCTTTTATTCTCCTATAATAAAACGCATGGTAGTTATTTTTAATAAACCATGATTAATAAATTATATCTTTAATCTCTCTTTGTTAAAAAAATGGTTAATTGCTTATAAAAAAAAGAAAAGAAAATATGATTATTATTTCTTCTTTATATTGTTAATTATTTCTTCTTTCTACCACCTTGTTGTCTTGGTAAACTCTTTTGAGCAGGTTTTAAAATTTGGAATGAACATAACAAACTTTCATCTACACTCATCATTGCACCTGCATTATCAAATTCACCACAATAATTTGGAGCACTAAATAAAGTTACTAACTGTCTCTTACTAAAAAATTCATAACCATCTTCGACAACTTGATGAGCTCTACAAATTAATTCCATATCTTGTTTTTGTAAAAATCTGTTTACAACATCAGGACCAAATGTAAAAGAAACACCTCTATCATTTTCACTCCAACCAACAATATCTTTATCTGGATCTGACCATAATAAATCACAAAGTAAACCAACATCTGGAATATCTGTTGGTCTCATAACTCTTCTAATTTGTTCCATACTATTTAAATCTGGAGATAAACCACCATGCATACAGAAAATTTTTTCATCAATAATAGCAGCAATTGGTAAACAATTGAAACAATCTGTAAAAGTTTTCCATAATTTAATATTATAACGTCTTTTACATTCATCATAAAACCCATATATTCTATTAATTGAAGCACATTCATGATTACCTCTTAAGATAAAGAAATTTTCTGGATATTTAATCTTATAAGCTAATAATAAACAAATAGTCTCTAAAGATTGTTTACCACGATCAACATAATCACCTAAAAATAGATAATTTGATTCTGGAGGGAAACCACCATATTCAAAAAGACGTAATAAATCATAATATTGACCATGAATATCACCACAGATCTGTTTAAAATAAAATAAATTAATTAATTAAAACAAATAAATTCGTTTTGATTAAAATATGAATTTGTTAGTAAAAAAATTTCATTTCTTTTAAAATAGAAAATTTGTTTATTATTTTATTTTATTCCACTAAAACAAACAAATAAATGTTAAATTTATATCTCTTTATTACTAGTATTAATTTGAAATCTTTATTAGCTAATCAAACAAAGAGGCAAAAAAAAATTACTAAAGCGTGGATGGTGGTGGACAAAAAAAAGGAGTGATAATAATTTAAACAAAACAAAGGAATAAAAATATAGTAGACAAACTAAAACATTAAATGGAAATAACTCAAACACACACATGTAGTCTTATTCTAGGAATAATACGTTTATCTATATCGGTTCAATTGGATTAAAATGAAATAATAAAACATAGTAAAAAATTGTTTTTCTTTAACATACTTTAATTGGAGCTTCTAATTCAAGTAGAATAGGTTGTTTAATAAATATTGATCTTGCTTTTGAACATAAATATCTGATTTCATGTTCTTCTAAATCAACTTGTTGACCTGGTTTTGAACCACGAACTTCTAGTAATCTATCAATAATGTTATCCACGTCGATTGTTTGTGTCTCCATGATTCTTTAATATATGTATATATCTTATAGTTGTGAAGTAAAAGGAATGATAGAATACAAATATAAATTATAATAATCTAATCGTTCACTTAAATAATTTTGTAAAAAATGTAAAATTTAATGAATGGCTTTCTTTTTAAAAACAAATAATGTATAAAAGAAAGATATAATATGGAAGTTTTATACTTTTTTTTATTTTATTAATTCTTAACTTTTTCACTTATTAGAATTTTGACACTAAAGAGATAATAAAAATAATGTAAAATTTCTCTTTTGAAGGATTAATAAACTATATGTACAGATTTTGAAATATGAAATCACTAAATTTTTAATCTGAGATAGATATTATAGTATTGTCTTTATTATCAAACTTAATATTCTTTTTTCTTAAAAATATATTTGTTATTTTTTTTCTTTCTTTATAAATATTTGAGGATAAAAGAAAAAAAAAGAACAACGACAACAGACGACAACAAAAAGGGAGTTGGGCAAAAAAAAATATAATTAGACTTAACTGTGCTACTGATTATATACGTAAGTTAGATTAAATAATACTAATAAAAATAAAATAAAACTTATATTAAATATATTATATATAAAATAGTAACAATATTACACCTATTAATTAGAAAGGGATATTAAAAATCAGAATAAATAAATAAAACTAATAATAATAGAACTTCCAGTAATATTAAATTTAACATGAAAATGATGTTAAAAGGGTGAAAAAAGATCAAATTTGAAATTAGAGAATTATTTAGAAATTTTTTTTTCTGTTTTGAAAGTGTTAAAAGTTATAAGAAATTTTTGTTCAAAAAATAAACAAAAAATTTTCTTTGCTAGCGATTTGAGAAAGAAATTTGTAAGAAGAAATCCACGTAGAAAGAGAGAAATAGTTCTCTCTTTCGAAAACGGAAAAAAAATAATTTTAAAAAAATAAATAAATAATTTCAGGGTAATCTAATATTGTTAACTTTCTCAATGAGAAAAAAGAATTACGGAGTCACAAATAGGCTTATTATCGTGGAAAGTGATATTCATTGCATTAAGATGGTAACAATTTAATAATACATATTAACATAAGTAGTCATACGTTGGCGGAAAGTAATCTTTTATTTGATTTGAAATTAAGAGCATAGTTTCCAAAGATTGGTTAAATATTGTAGCTCTGTTCGTTTGATATCTATGGAATATTTAGTACTCTTGAAATTTTTGTTCCTTTTAGAATCAGCGGCTATTTAAAGCTACCAATATAATCCTTTCAAATAGATACTGTAACTTTGTTATCCTTTCGTACTAGTATTACTTGCGCTTAGTAATTGAGGAGTAATTTATAACTACGCTGATAGCAATTCTCTTGCAAGTGTCATATTTTATTATTTACCAGACGTTCAAAGGAGTAACAAAATTAAACAGAAGCAACAAAGAGCAGTTTCCTCTAAGGTAGTTTATTTCAAAAAAACACACACTATATAAGTATTTTGTAATTACACAGTTGATGACCAAACATTCTTTTAATCTCGTAATGGTCAATGAAATTCCCTGAAATAACGATGGATAGATATATAGTAGATTTCAACCATATTACTATCGCCATTGAAGGAACTTTCATATCTACAATAATCAAAAATCAAAAAAAAGAAAGATTAATGATGGGAAATGTCAAGTGTGTGATACAAAACGTATTTACTTTTCTAAAAATGTGACAACATTTCAAAGATTACATAAATGAATTCTCTCTCTGTTGATGATTAATGGATGTGATCCCCTCCCCCTTGAGAAAAGAATGGATTATCCTACCACCCAGGAAAAATATACTGTTTAATTAGAATTATTCTCACATATCATAGGTTTTTGATAGTAATTATTTCTTATATAGAATACCTTTTTATTCCATCTTATTGACATGGTTCTCGATTAAAACCAATATTACTATAATGTTTAAGTGCCAGGCATAAATTCAACTACTTTTATATCTTTAATTTAATGTAAATAGAATGAAAATTTGAATAAAATAAAAATTTAAAAGTAAAAATTCGTTCGTGATATAATGAACCATAAATTTTAAAATTGAAATGTTTTGTATATCGAGATAGCTTTACGGTAAACGGTTTTACTTGCAAGCAGCGTTTACGATCTTTGAGAATGGACGTACAACCGCGAATGTAAATTAAAATTTAAGCGTAGTTATCTGAGAAATACACAGGATATCAAAAGGTTTTGATTTCGAAACGTTCAAAGCGCTCATTTTACGGATAGCGGAAAAAACTTCATAGTGATGAATCATATCGTGTGAACAATCTCTGACTGTAATCCTAGCAATAGGATTTAAAGATTAGAACAACTTATGTTGCCTTCCTTCTGATATGAAGTTTTTTTTTGGATAAGTGAACCTATATGAAATATGTTCATCTATTCATACGTATTTTTGTAAAAACCAAGAATTTATTATACAAAGGTATGTTTCCGACAACAACGATAGTAACATTGCTAGTGTTTCAAAGTGTAGATCCTTAATAACATTTCCCTCTTTCTCTTTAGTAAGTTATTTCCCACTATATTTTTCCGATAGCCACATATACAAACCAAATGTTAGAAAGTGGGTTGGTCCCTCTATCTTAGTTTCTGCCCACTTTTTTCAATAAAATTGTAGTCGAAAATAATTCTATTAAATTTATCGCATTACGGATATCGTGCAGTTATTTATTATATAAACAGTTCGAAGGAAACAAGCTAATTTCCGTGATATGAGAGAAATAACTGTGAAGAAAAAAGAAAAAAAAAGTAAACAAATTTTTTGTACCAGAAATGACAAGAAGAAAGAGAGAGTTGATTTCAATTACTACGGGGTCCTCGTGGTTAAAATGAGGAAACTCTCGTTGTCAGTAGGCACCATTTGTTACGCTTTCTATGCTCTATTCTGTAAGCATTAAGCTAAGTAGTGGGTTCATTGAAAAACTTACTCATTTTCTAAAGTAGTTAGTTATAAGAAGAGAAGAGAAAATTCTCGGACGAACAACTGCAGAACCATTCTCTCTTTCTCTCTCTCTTATTCTAAACCTTTAATCTTTAATAAAATATGCAAACTGTAATTGTAAATGGTTGACCTTCTGTCTATTAACGGTATGAAGAAGATATGTAAAGTTTGCTTATGTATGTGTAGGAGGAAAGTGGTCCGGTTGGGAAATTATCCGGCATTACAGATGCAGATGTGGATTTAGCTCTTATTTATTAATATCGTTGATAGTTAGCTCTTGTCACATTAAACCTGGTCTTTTTTACATTAAAAGTTATACAACCTTTATATATTCGATAGGTGTAATTACTGTTTTTCAAGGTAAAATTCAAAGTTTAGGAAACGGTTTCATAACTGTACGTTAGGCAAACGAAATAGAACAGTTTAAGATTCTTTCATTATAGTTACATTTTGAATCTTCCTTTCTTTAGAATAGTTTAATCCAAAGAAAACTTACTTAATCGAGTGTATTCCTTTTATATCAATAAATTAGCATAGAAATACACATACACACATATATACATCAATTGAATTTAAAAACCAGATATCAATTATTTAGTTCATTTCATTTTGTTGCATTTCCACTATAAAAATAGTAATAAATTAGGATATGTACTATCTACATATATAGAAGAGACTCATTAATAACTAGAATAGCAAAGAAAGAGGAAACAATAATATAATGCCCACTCTACAACCATCGACAAGCACTTGCTATAAATTAAAATTACCTGATTTACCACCTGAATTGAGAAATAAAAATATAGATGAAACTGTGAAGAGAAGATACACTTTAGATTGTAGAACAGGTGCCGCAACTGAAATTTGTCGATCAAGTATATTAGTTCATGGTGGACTTACCATTCCATTAAATATTTCACATATTACCATATCGGAGATACAAAATAAACTAATATTATATTTTGCCAAGAGGAAACATTCAGGTGCAAATTTTAAAAATTTACAGGATTGGATAAGTAATGAATTATTCTCCTTAGATTTAATTACAAGAGAATGGTTTAGAATATCGACAACTAATAAAAATAGCGATGAAACGATAAAGGAAAGATTGTTACACTCAATGTGTTATTATAATAACAATCTTTATATGTTTGGGGGACTTATAGTCTCGCCACAAAACGATTATGAATTAATAGCCACCAATGAATTATGGAAATTAGACTTACAGACAATGGAATGGTCTTTAATTGGTAAAGATCCTCAAATAACAAGAAGATTCAATCATACAATGCTTCTACAAGGCAATAATGATGAAAAGAAAGATACAAAATTGATCATTGTTGGTGGGTTGAACAATATGGATCAATCAATACCATATATTGATGTCTTCAACATTTCTACAAATGCATGGGAATCCGTTAGATCCTCTAACAGAATCATAACAAATATCGAAGGGAGCATGGTATCCCTTTGTAAGAATAAAAACGGCCCCGTTCTATTACAAGATAATGAGGCAGAGATTCCAACCTTAGCTTATTACATGCCATTATCCCAACAAAAACGGCAATTAAACCTACATCCAAATGATGATATACCGTCCGATGAGAATTCCCCAATGACCTCAGATTCTGATAGTCTCGAAGACGAAAATAAAATACTTACAGAGGCCACATCAACTTTTGAAGAAGATTCAAAGAATTATAGTCCAATTATAGCTTTACCTTTATTATCAAATGCACAAGGTGTCCCATTGATTTCAAATCAGGATGAGATATTTGAACAGATACAAAACACACTTCACTATGAATCCGCATCATATTTCAATGATAATTTCATCCTTATAGGGACAACTACAGTTCGCCCACAAGCTAAATTGTATTGTTTCTTTTATAATTTGCATTTTTCAAAGTGGACAATGATCAATATCAATTGTCCAGACTGTGATATAACCCATCATAGATTTTGGAAAGTATTTACTTGGGAGTCACATTACCAAGCACTCCTTTTAGGTACTTTACATGATGATTTTCATACGTCATCAGTTCAAAAATTTGATCATTTACTCGCATTTGGTTTGTCAATGACAAACGTCTTGAATAGAGCTGCTATATTACCAGATTATAACCAATCTAGAAACCAGTCTCTCTCAATGGCTCCTACGACACCTTCAAATCTAGAAAATAATCCATTTCAGAATCCAATACGACCAAGTACATCGACTTCTCAGTTCGAGAGTTATATAAAATACATCACCACTCCATTAGATATAGAGGCTACGACATCTGTATTCCCTCCATATGCAATGGTTTTGGGTAAGGATGGTTTCGACATATATGGAGATTCTTTTGCAGATTTTGAATTTATTACTAACGAAGGTGAGTCAGTTGGTGTCCCATCATATTTACTTAGAAAGAGATGGGGTAGGTATTTCGATCGATTATTATCTAAAAGTTATTCTACTACCTATGCTACTTACAGTAACACAGGGCATAATTCTTCATTGGTCAAACCAACATCAGATACAATTGGGGACATACCAGAGACCTCTATTTTGAAACTACACCCTACAAATAACATTGTTTCTCAGACATCATTAGACTCTTATTTCAAAGAGACGGAAAATGATTTGGATCCTAAGTCTACACCAAATTATACTAAAGAACAATCTGTTAACTTACCTCCTATATCAAAAAATAAAATGAATTATAAGCTTTCTCCTACAAGTTCATTATATAATATTGGTGCTACTAATAATTCTCAAGAAGTCGTAAACGTGATCCCTACACATCTATCCAATAATAGATACGAAGAATTTAAAAATTATAATATGTCAGCACCAACAACAAGTTCCACAAGTGGGATGGTATTTAGAGTACCATTTCACGACAAAAAACTCCAAACTACAGATTATCAAGATTCTCGTACCTCATATAGTCAAAATAACACAAATAACCGAAGACGATCTTCATTGGTCGTTCAATTTGAAGGCGAGACAGATCCTACTGTATCTAAGAGTCCAGGACAATATCCTCGTCGTGCTTCTCATCCTACACAATGGAATCCTTCATTTTTGGACTCTAATTCTGCGTCACCAAAACCTAGTGGATTATCAGTAACCTTCAATTCTTCCTCAATTACCAACGGTAATAACGTATCGAATAGAAGACCTTCTTGGAGAATGATGTCAAGTACTCATAATTCTAGAAAGGCATCTGTTACATCACAGAGTAGCATTATGTCATTTGTAAGTTCTAAATCTGATAGAATGGGGAATTCCGTCATAGCAAGAAGAAGTACAAGTGCTTCAGGCAGTAATCGTAGCAGTAGATCTACTTCCCCAAACCCTGTCCTATTGAATGTAGCATTACCGCCGCTAAGTAACATTCCAGACGATCCGATTCCATCGACACCTGCCATATCTGCTAATATTCCTATCCCTCAAAATAATCATCGTCGTAAATCAACAGCTTCAAGAGCAGGATCATTTGCTGAAGTATTTGGTTCCAACAGAGGTAGTCCATTTTCATCACGAAGATCATCTAGGGTCAGACATAGCTCTAGTGTAGCAGACTCCAATAGTTCGATGCATTCACCTAGATATTCCATTGATGATGCGAAATTTTTTATTTCCCCAACAAGAACTAGACGTATGTCTTCATGCACGTCAAATGAAGATAGTTTAGAGAGTCTTGGAACCACTGATGGAGGTCGTGAATTAGAACCTTTATTGACACCGAGATCCCTGTACTTACCTTGGCCAACTGTCACGGTTCAGGCGTTTGTTGAATTCTTCTATACAGGTCAAATCAATAAGAAATGGTTGTTAGCTCCAGTAGTGATGGATCTCTTAGTAATGGCCAAGATATATGAAATCCCATTGTTATACGAAATGATATGTGAGGTCATATATGCTATCATTGGTAAGAAAGAAGAGAATTTACATTATAATTGTAATAGTATAGAACGTGGATTTAACCAATTAGTAGCCAATTATTTTCAAGATGATGAAGCCAAAATTACAAAATTTTTAGAAAATAATGAAGCATATCGTCAATTACAAAATTTGAAGAAATCATTGAATGATATTGATGACGGGTTCCTTGTTATGAAACTACTAAGCGATTTATCGAGAAATCTTTCCACAAGTACTAATGAAGAGAGTGATAACAATGATACAGTTTTGAGTCATGATGATTTAAAATCAATACAAAGATCATTGTCGAATGCTTCTCTCTCTAGAGATCTACATCAGACTAATGACGGAAACTTATCAACGAGACCACACCAAAATTCAAACATTTCAACAGGTCTATCGTCTCTCATTAACAACGATAATAATGAGGATGTTTCTGCTTCTTTACTTAAAAAGTTACTTAACCAATCTGATAGTATATCACATAATGAGGCCATCAGACGAGATATGGAGTTAGCTGCCAAAGATAGAGAAAGACGTCATTCTTCAAATAGTTCTTTAATAAATAAACGTGTTAACGATGAAGAATTGGAACAAGCAAGGCTTCAAGGTTTATCGGAAGTTGATTATGGCTTTAGTAGAGATGGGCCAATGGATTCTAAGAGTCTCAAGAAGTTATATTCTATGTATGAAGATGATAATCATAATAATGATAATAAAACTAAAATTGGAGAAATTGATAAAAATTCATCACAATCAGATTCTGATGAAATTGATTCACAATTTGATGGTTTATCTAAGATTAAAATGAAGAGACAATTATTAGAAGATTTTGAACTTGATGAATCGATTGATCCATTATATCGTTTTAGTGAAAGTGAACCAGATGCATTTGGTGCATCCATGTCACGTTCTGATTCCTTAAGAGCTTCGGGTTATGGTAATGCAACAAGAGGTAGTAAGACAAGTAAATCCACTCTCTATAAAGGTTCTTTCCTAAAAAATGCTAGTCTTCATGTTGGTAATAATAATCGTAACAGTAATAATAATAATAATAATAATAATAATAGTAATGTTAATGGTACCTTTAAGAATGATAAAAAACCAAGTGATGCTGAAAGTGGAACAAGCTTATTAAATCTTTATAACCATAGAGAGCCAAATATGAATATTACTGAACCAACATTAGAAAATATAATTTCTACGGATGCGTTACCACCTGTTGATTATATTATGAAATCGATTTGTAGAACTACAGTATTAGTTAATGATCCAAGAATAATGATTCGTAGTATGGAATGTATTGAATTATCAAAATTATTAAAATTAGTTAAGAAAAAGATGTCACATGAAGTTCAGTTATTAGAAGATAAGACGAAAAAAAATGAAAAGACAAGAATTTCAAATATTTTAATTTCAACACAAAATGGACATAGATCATCAATTAATGCAGTACCGAATAGAAAAGAAGGCTCAACTTCAATACAAACTTTACCGAAAATTCGTACAATGTCGTCAATACCAAATTTTAAATTAAAACAAATTTCTAATAATAATGTACCAATTGATCCATCACGTCGTAAATCATCTAAATTAAATTCAATTTCACCACGTACATCATTATCTGTTATTACATCTAACAACAGTATTAATAATTCAATAATGAATCCGAATCATGATATTAATAAAATATCGATGCATCCGCCATTTATACCTTCAACAATGTCAAATGTCGCATCACCAAAATCCAAGAAAGATAGTAAAAATTCGCTAAGCAACAACAACAATAATTCTAATAGTAACAATAATCTCAATAGTGGATTCTCATTCTTTGGTAAAAAAAAGTAAATAAATATATAATTATAAATATAAATGCATATAGAAATAAATACAACAAATTTAAAATTGTGTCATTTCTAAATAATCTCAACTGTGATCCTCCCATCATGTCTGCACAATATATAATAAAGGTTACATATCAGTTCTGTTTTTTATTTTAAAAATTCTTGATGATTATTTATTTATTTATTTTATGTATACTTGAAAAAAAGTACATAACTTATTACCGCAACAAATATATATATATATAGATATATATATATAGAATTTATTATCTTTTATTTTTATTCTTTCGTTAAAAAAAACCATACAAATGTATCATCAATACATTTATAAAGCCTTCTTAGCAGCGGCAGCTGGAGAAACCTTGTTATCCTTGTTGAATCTTGGTCTTTGAGGTGGTAATCTATTTCTTCTATCAGTTCTAGATCTAACTCTAACAATTCTAGCATGAATGGCACAAGAGACACAGTAGTGTAGCTTGTTGTAGGTCTTTGGTAGAGCGTATTCAGCGTAGACAGAAGCTTCAGACATATCTCTAACGGCAGCAGCTTCAACAATGTTTCTGATAGCCATTCTCTTGATAGCCTTATCCTTTGGAATGGACTTGGAACAGTTAACACATCTTACTGGTTTAACGTGACCTCTACCTTTCTTGTTTCTACCGTTGGAAGCTCTCTTCTTTGGCATCTTGTGATGGAATATAAATATATATAGTTTTGTATTTCTTTATTATTTGATAATAGATAAGAAATAAACCAAATAACAAAATATAGTTGAATATATATATATTATAAAGAAATAGTTACAATTATTAAACCAAAAACATACGTAATTAGAGAGAATATTAAGAAAGAAAATGAATTATAATTTGGGAAAAGATACGTTACAAAGAAATTGAAAAAAAAAAATCCATAGTATAAAATTTTGTTAAAAAAAGATTGTACATGTACACTAATTTCAGAATTTCCTCAGAGAACATCGTAGAACTCACTGACAAAATAACATATAAATTCTGATCATCGATGCACACACACATACTATCTTAGTTTACACTCAATAGAATTTTTCACTAATCGAATCTCTCTCAGAGACATATCTCATCTCAGCCATATTATTATTATTGTTATTGTTATTGCTACATAAATCTACATAACATTGTGCGTTATTAAATTTGAAATTTTTCACCGATAAAAAAAAACACCCCAAGCAAACCAAGAAAAGATGTACGGATGTTAGTAACACCGAGATAAATGTACGGATGTTGGAAAGCCCGTCCAACCCCCAAAATAATATTTGTTTCACATTTCCCCGGCGCAAATATTTTGATTGCAAAAAATAAAATAAAACTTTCACATGAAAAGAACCGCGGAATAATTCATAAAATTCTCGGCAGAAACGAAACATCGAAAAAAGGGCGCAATACCAAGAAAATGAACAATCTTTACGAACCGTTTCTCTCAGTTAAAGAATTCATTGTATAAAATTCCTTACTACGCACCACTCAAACCGCGAAAAGGAGGCTGATGATAATAACAATAATAATAATGACAATTTCATTGAAATTGAAATTGAACCGTGGTTGGTAAAAACGGAGACAATCGTTCCGAATTACGAATAATCCTTCTTCCCCGGCCAGTCTCACTGTGAACATTTCAAATTAAGAGAGAGAGAATGTGTGTGTGTCTTGACATTTATTTGCGTTTAAGGACACACAAACATTTTAGAGATATGTGTGAAAAGCTTAGAGGTTAATTAATCATTGTGATTAACCTTGGAAACCCAACTATTACCATAGCTACACAAAGAAGAAAAATTGTAAAATCTCGGAATTAGGATATAATAGTATATACTGAAATCTATATGAACTTTGATTTATACGTAATAAGAAAAATGAATCTAGACTTTTATAGACAGCTCATTTGCTGAACAAGATTTTTCTCTCACGCTCATTTGTAGTAATTAATCTATATAGCTCAAACATTCAAAAGAATGTTCCAAATAATGAATGTACCATATAATTCAATAAGGTTCATACATATGTAATATACCGATTTGCCTGTAATATGCATACATATATATATATATATATTTGTATTTAAAGAAATCACAGTACTGTAACGAACAACCCTCTCAGTGATAAATTCCCGTTTCCATGTCGGATACATAATATATATTCACTATTAACAGCATTAGTCGGATTGTTTTATTCTAAATTCTGCATCAACAACAGCAGTAACCATCACAGGTGTGTTCCCTCCTTCCCCCATGGATTGTTCTGAGTATATTGACCGGGGCAGATAAAGAAAACAGAAATTTCCCGCTTTTACTACGCATATCTCTCTAATACAGCTAAAAAGGCGCAATTTTTTGTATTGGTTACTACTACGTTATATTATAGAAGAGGCTAATAATATGCATATATTATTATTATTATTATTATGAGTTTTTTTTAATATATTTTATTAAGGTAATGAATATTAAATCACATAATCGTTATTCGGTAATAATGTAATAATTAACGAAGTACTAGGTATTAAAAATTGTAATATCTTGAGATTAGATATACACACATATATATATATACTTGCAGCATTTTATTATTTATCTCTTGATAATACGTAATAATACCACTCACTATATATACTTGCATTAATTAAATTATTGAAAACTATTTTGCAAAATCAATTTATAGTAGAATCAATAATGAATTTTGATTTAGAAAGATCAAATTCAACTTCAAATTTTTTGATTAATAATAAAATGAATACTAATAATACTGGATATTTTAATAATAATGGAATTAATTATAATTTTAATTTACAATTGATTCCAAAGGATGAAAATAATGAAATTGTTAATAATAAGAATAATAACAACAACACTGTAAATAATGATTTGACAGGTAATACATTAACAAATGATATTGACCCACCATTTCAATTTCCACCAATTTCAAATAATAAGATTAATGATGGTAGAAGATTATCAATTTCAAATTATAATTTTGGTAACGCTAATTATTATGAATATGAAGATTTTGAAATGAATTTGAAATTAGATAACAACAACAACAACAACAACAATAATAATGCTATAACTAATAATGAATATATTGAACAATCAAAACAACTAACATATTCTTCAACTGGTATTAGACAGTTGCCATTAACACATCATGAAATTGATTTGGAAAATTATGATACAAATAATGAAATTGTTATCGATGATAATCAATCCATGGAAAATGAAACAGATATTGATATGATAGATAATGATATATCTGATATTCCATTCGATTCCATAACGAGTACTAATACTACAAATAATCATAATGCTACTATTACAGGTAAGAGAAGAATGCGTGATTATTTTAAATTCAATTTATTTAATTCAAATAATAATAACAATGGTAACAGTGTTGAATCTGAAATATTATTAAAAAATGATGAAAATAATTCACAATTAAATGATCAATTTAGTTTAAAGAAAAAATCTTTTTGGAACCCTAAAAATACACCATTTTTAAGACGTTATAATAGTAAAAATAAAGATGAAGAAAATGAAATTGATGATATTAATGGAATAACAAAAGAACTTGAATTCTCTGATCTTTTTGATATTGATATGCCACTCTCTCAAGAATTTCAAACTTCTACAGTTCCAATCAACACTACTACTAGTCTTCCTTCTCAACAAAAACCAATGTTTAAGAATGAATTAAATCCAATGATAATAATGGATCAACCTCAACAAATTACAGGCGTGAATCCATCATATACATTTGATAACGTATCAACTGTAAATAGTTCGGTAAATATATCCTCTCCAGTAATGACTATTGCACCATCATTGGTGACAAACGATGATATCTCTAGTTCAATGGTACAACCCATTAAATCTATGAATCCATTCGAACAAGATATTATGAATTATTATGATATCAGTAATAATAATAATAATAATAATAATAACCCAGTGGAACAGTCGCCGATTGTTATCATAAAGGAAGATCAACAACAAGACGAAGAGGGAGAAGAAAATATGGTTGAGTCTCAGGTATCGATAGATTCTTCCGTAGGTGACATTACAAGATCAGAAACTCCAATTAGACATGAATTACCACAAACGATAAAGAGAAGAGCCTCTAACACAGTGCCAAAGACAAGAGGTCGTAAACCTTCTTTAATTCCAGATGCAAGTAAACAATTCTGTTGTGATTATTGTGATAGAAGATTTAAGAGACAAGAACATTTAAAGAGACATATTAGGTCTTTGCATATTTGTGAAAAGCCCTTCACTTGTCATATTTGTCAGAAAAATTTCAGTAGAAGTGATAATTTAAATCAGCATATAAAGACACATGCTCACGATGAAGAATGATCAAATACAAAATGAAGAAATATTTTCTACTTAATAACTAGATGCTAGCTTATTTCTTGTGCATGGACAAATTTGGCTCTATCCCTAAAAGTTCAGGAATCATCGATGGATTGATATATAATATATATAAATCAACCTTCATTTAGACAGATATAGCCCACCACTAAATAATGAATAACGATAATTTATAGAATTTTTTAAATAAATTTATTCTTTTTATTTTATACCTATATATATATGTTGACTTTTTCAGTCACGATATCCGTATATCAGTTTTATATGGCACGCTAAAAAGAATTCGCACTGATCAAAATATAAACATAACTAGGCAAACAAAACCTATATGATTAATGTTTCTTAAGAAACACATACCAAAAAACGCCTAGCACTTCATTATTTAGTACTATAACCCTTTACTATCTTACTAATCAACTCCATACATTATCTCAAACAACCACAAATGTCAGGATTTTCTTCTAATACAGCTTATCAACTACAACTTAATAGATTTCTTAATTCTCCTTCGCATAATAATCAATGTTCCGATTGTAAAAACTCTAATCCAACTTGGTGTTCCACAACTTTCAATGTATTTTTATGTTCAAGATGTGCATCCATTCATAAGCAAATACTGAATAAAGAGCCATATTACTCTAATATAAAATCTATAAGACTGGATAATTGGTCAGACGATGAACTATTTAACTTCATTCATAAATCGAATACTATCATCAATAGGAATATTTACACAACCTCAGATAACGCTTATGATATAGAACAAATAATAAAAAGAAAATACATGGATCCGCTGCTAGAATCAGGACTTGCCAAAAGAAGAGCTAACAGAAAATATCCTTTACTGACTAATAGAAGAGCCAGAGACTACGAATTAAGTAAATACTCAAGACATATTAGAGAAATAGAATCATACGATAGAAGATTTAATAATGAGGATAATATTATAGAGGCTTTATCGATGGCACATGGTAATATTGAAAATGCTATTGAAATATTAAGATACAATGATGAAGCGGTTAATTCAAGGTATTACAACGATGATGATGATGATAGAAACCGTATCAGCAATGATTTTTCAAATTCAGATAGATATGGTAATTCAAATTATGGAGGTAGTCGCACGCCTAGTTTACCAAAAAGACCGATTAATAGCGGTCCAAAGGATGCAGTCTTCGACGGTTCATTTGGGGGCTCAACTGCTATCGTTAGAGAACCAAGGGCAGCAGTCTTTGATGGTTTGACACCAGATATTTCATCTAATCTTCAAATGTCTGAATTCCAAGTACAACAGCAAGAGCAGCAAAAGCAGCAAATCTTACAACAACAAATCTTACAACAGCAAATGTTGCAGCAGCAACAAATTCCCCAACAACAACAATTTCAGCAGCCCTTCCAAGAAACAATGCCATCATTAATGCAACAAACATTTCAGCAAAATGTTCCTCAGCAAGTGACCTCTCAACCTATTTCACAAGCTACGTTTTCTCAACTACCATTGGACCAACAACGTCTATTGTTACAGCAGCAGCAGCAGCAGCAACAGCAGCAACAACAAATGCAATATCCTAACCAGAATATCCAAAACCACGGTGGATTCTACCAATTATAATTGTTTATTGATTAATCTATTGCTGCAGATTTTGGACAGTTACCAAAGTATACATATACATATACATATATCTATATATATACCATTAGATGTTTATATGATTGAGTATATTCTAGCAATTAAAAATGATTTATTTATTTCCATTTAGCGGAAATATATTTTTGTGTATCCTAATTTATATATCTTATTACGGTTTACAATCCCTTTTGGTTATGCTTATAATTATGCAAACTCAAATGGCAATGATTCTTCTGAGATATATGACGAGCCTGACCGTGACGAGCTCGAAGAATTGGATGAAGATGCGGATTCTGTTGAATATGATGATTGGGATGATGAGGTTGATTTGCCATCACTATCCGATTCACTATTACTGTCACTCTCATTCAATATATCAATGAAATTACCTCGTTTAGCTCTACGTTCGGAGGTGGGTATATCTTCTTGTGGGCTTATAGAATCGACAGTGTGTGGATTGATTGACCTATTGGCAATACGTTGTGGCCGATTTATCCTAGATACAGGAGTTCTTGTTGATGGTGTGCCCCTACCATACAAGTTTAATGCAGATGAAGAGGGTTTTCTTAGAGTAGATGATGACGAGCTCAATGTCATGTAATTTAAACCATTAGCGTTTACGTTTGGTGGGTTAATTAAGAAGCTTCCGGAACGTTGGAAAGAAGATTGGCTTTTTTTGTTTTCTTCTGTAAGGCCAACTTTACTCATAGCATAATTATCAATATAAAAAGAGTCAAGTGAAGCAAAGGATGAATTAATCGGTAAATCAACCATATTCTTATTTCTTTCTCGCCTCTCCTCAAATGCACGTAATTCGTTTTCATAAGACGGGATAGCACTCTGGCTGTAACTTCTTGAACCTTCTAATTTATCACCTATGCTGATCTCGGTTTCCGATTTGGAAGTTTGAACATTATTACCATAAGCGTCTGTCATTATTGAACCTTCACTTAATAGTATGCTGGCATCACTACCAATTTTCTCCAGAGTTTTTACATCAGATATTGGTCCTCTAGTAATATTGGAGACGCTTTCAGAATCAGAAATAGCGTCACGCAAAGAATGTTCAGAATATGTTGTGGATTTTAGGGAAGAAGATGAAGAGTCCCTACTGTTAGAGATACCAAATCCTGAATAACTATTATCCGAAGATTTAGATTTATCATTTATCTTTTGTTTAACAGTCTTATTGGAATAATACCTTAATGGTAAAGATTTTAACACAGATTCCTTAATTTTTTTACCGACACCTGAAACTGCATTACGTAACTCTGATTTTGTAATTGAAATTTGTTCATATGTATCTTTTTGATCTTGTTGAAAGATTTCTTTTTCATTATTCTTCATATTTACAAGGGTTTGATCAAATCCAGTAGTATGCTCGAAATCCCAACAAATAAAAGGATGTCTCTTGATATCGGCAATCGTGATTCTTTTAGAAGGATTCTTCTCTAACAATCTGTTAACCAGATCAACTGCAGCATTATATTCTTCCTCGCACGATATCATGGAGACTCCATTTTTAGAAAGCTCCTTGAATGAAGGACATTTGACTTCATCGTTCGCAATTTTCTCAAACAATTCTAGTTCGAAATCAGATATAAATGGTAGCTTACCAAATAAGAGACAGTATAATGTTACACCAAGCGCCCATATATCAATCATCAATGAAATGCAAGATCCCTTGAACAATTCGTTTCTATCAACATCATATTTCGTGAACATTTCGTCACCTAGACATATTTCTGGTGCAAAGAATGCTGGTGTTCCCGCCGTCTTTGCGAGCTCTAACTCATCTAAAGCCTCACTTGATTTCTTCCTACTCAAGATCTTCTTTCTTGCGTCAGGGTCATTCAAATTTTCTACTGTATTGTCGATCATTATACTCGTGGAAGCTAAGGAGACACCAAAATCAGATATCTTAACGACGTTATCTTCTGATAATAAAAGATTTGCCGGTTTAATATCTCTATGTATAATACCTTGGTAATGTAAATATTCCAGTCCCAGGATGACGCCTCGAGTGAAAGATCTTATAGATTGAAAATCTTGTACAGGTGGTCCTGTTGCTTCCATCTCCAAACAATCATCCTTGCACCATTTAATTTCACCCTTTGAGCAATATTCAATAACCAAATAAATTTTTCTTGATTTCAAATCATCTAAAACTTCGATTAATTTTACAACATGTTTGTGATGTAATTTTTTCATAATAGCAATTTCTTTCTTTATTTTGTCATTCTCTATTATTTTTTTGAATAATTTCGGTACCATTCTTGATCTCTTTTCATGTCTATCCACAATCTTAATTGCCACTAGTCTTCCCGTGACTAAATCCTTCGCCAGTTTAACTTTTCCATGCTGACCATGTCCTAGTTCTTTTATTATTTCATACGTATTCAGTACTTTTCTCTTAGAGATTGGGTCGTAAGTCAACGAAATCCTGTTTGTTTCTTTTACTGGTCTAATCTCGATATTTAGATTATTAGAAGGAATTATATGATCTTGATGCAATGGGTGATTTAATTGTCTTATTCGTTGCTTCTCTAATAACATATTCAATGATTCCATGGAAGATGATGATATCTCAGAGAGCCTATCTGATGACTTACTATTAATCTTTGATAGGTTTTTATCTAAAGTTGTGTACGACTTGATGGAGTCTATGCTAGTGTTTCTAATATGCAAGTAATGGGATGGCGGTTGTGATGTTTTTATGCTATTATTATTATTTTTTGAAAGTGATAATGTCAAAGGTGTATCATTATTCACCATTGATGAACTCAGTTCATTTTGTAATGTGAACGGGATATCTACTTCTTCTGAGTCGAAAGCGCCAACTGACATGTTGTTTTTTGTTATTTCTTCAACAGTTTAAATGTGTATGAGGTTGTAAACTGATAGGAGTTAAGTATAATTTGATAATATATCAATGTCGAAAGTATGCTTTCATATATGTGTATGCCTAAGGGAAAAATTAAAAATGGTATTCGTTAATGAACTAATTTTTCGTATGTTCTTGGATCTAAAGGAAACTGTTATATTAGATGAAATGTAAATTATTTATAAAAAGCGCTCTTATTGAATTGTTGTCTCCTCTCAACGATTCTTATCAAGAATGTTTTTTTAGTCTTCTTTCGTTCTTTTATGTTGTGGGTTGAATGATTCGTCGTCATATTTGTTCATCTGCTAAAGTAGCTCATATCGTCATTATTTAAGCAGAGAAAAAACAGAGAAAAAGTCGGTGAGCGAACAAAGTGATTTTTTTTATATAATACGTTGTAATATAAGATGGCATAAATAAATAGACAAGAAAGTCAGAGTAATAACTCTGGGACTTTGATATTGTTGTATTATAATCATTACGCAATCTATGTGTATGTATGTACGTATGTATGTATATAATTATTTGAACTTCATAGTAGATATGAGAGTGCAAAGTCTTTGGGTTGCCCTTATCCAATATTCGTTCCGCTCTGAAAAGGCAAGAGGGAAATGGATTGACACCTTTATGGTATTTATCATTTAGGATATTTATAATAGCACAGATGCCCTTTGAGTTTAAAGCTGTTGGAAGGGACAATAATCTTCTGTCGTACTACACCAAATAATTATATACAGATTCGTGAGACATCTTTCTCTTGCATGCGATATATATTAATTCCAATAAATTTGCGTTATTTTCTATGTTACCACAATACTAAAATTGAAAATATTAGGAATGGCCATACTTCTCTGTTTCAATTCTTGTGAGCATAACCTTAATTGCCAGTTTTATTCAGATCATTATTCGGTACGCTTGGGAAACTGAACATCTTTTCCAATTCTTCTGGATTAGTGTTGGAATAATTTGCTTCTTCTTTCTTTCTTTTTGCAATCGCCATTTGTTGAGCCTTCTTTGTTCGTAATCTATGTTGGAACATATTATCATCTAATTTGTAATTTCTAACTTTTTTTTGAAGTTCTGTCATATTATCTAATAGTTTATTATATTCAGCTTGATAATCTATCGGAGGTGAACTCTCTTCATTATTCTTTGGGGGACTTGAAATATCGTCTTTGGATTCATCTGTACTATCTGAATCTTTAGAAGAATTATTCTTAGAAAATATTTTGTTCACCCATGTATCCCACGAACCAGAGCCATTAGATGCCTGTACTTTTAGTTGTTGTTTCACTCGTTGTAGTTCAGCAACAGTATTTTTATATTCTTGCGAATAAAGGGGTACAACAAAACTGGGGTTGTCTATTAGATGAATATCACAAGAGTATATCCAATCCTTCAATGTTTGATTAAATAGAACAGTCGTTGCAGGCTTTGAGCATATCATGCAAGGTTGCATATCTTTCAATGCAACCTTACGTTTAGTATATTCGTTACTCATCTTGAAATTTTATGTCTGTATGATCTTTTAAAATTTATTGGTCAGATAATATAGTGGATAGTTTTTATTGGATTGTTAAGTCTCTTGATGTACATCGAGAGTAAAAGCTTAAGTTTAGTGATCGGATTACGCTACTAAAAATAAAGCCGAACAACATAACCTCGACTATTAAGACACTCACAAAAAAAAAGAAAATAAAAGAATGCACAAGCTTGAGTATTTAAATAAAAATTATGCTTTCAATTTGATTGTTATTATTTAGCTATGAATACGGATCTTGTTATCTATTAACTGTGTATACATAATAATGCCAATTACATTCTCTTCTTAGCCCTATCCCATGCACTTCTAGGTTTTTTATTAGACCGCCTAGATGTACTGTCTTCCATCTTTCTCTTTGAGTTGAAGATACCAAAATCTTCACCACCAATGACGTTAGCTTTTGCATTTCTTTGTCTTTGTTTCTGCTTCTTTCTCTCTGTCTTATTCATACCCATATGGTTCACTCTTGTGAAATTATCTTCTTCAAATGTAGTTACTCTACGTTCCTTCTCTGTATCCCTAGATGATTTGATACCACCTCTACCGTGATCTAGAATATCTGCACCAATAGATGTACCCCAATCTGGTTGTTCTGATTGGTCTTTGATATATTCTTCCATAGCTTGCATCTTGGAATGACTACTACGGTCCTTATGGTCCTTAACACTAAATTTATCCTCGAAATGTGTAGTTGTTTGTGGAGGTAGCATAGCATTAATCTTTGGTGGTCTATATATACCATCGTTTTCTTGGTCTTCTTCTTTTGTCTCTTCATTATTGTCGTTTGATCCAGATTTAGTTTCTCTAGTGGATTTTGATTTGTCGTTTGTTTGTGATTTCGCATTTATCATATTTGGTCTATAAGACAATTCATCATCTTCATCACTGCTTGACACTTCTTCTTCTTCATCATCGCTATTTTCTCTATTAGATTTTGTTGTACTACGAATATCTCTCTCTGTGACACGTTTTTCAGCATCTTTGTATTCTTTCTCAGTTCTTGTATACGACCTCACAAGTTTATCTAATTGATAACCTAGTTTCTTCTCCAACGGTTTTACACCACGTTCTAATACAATACGATTTTCGATACTTCTTTCACGACCTTTAGAAGCTGTTGGATCCTTCACTTTTGTGTCCATTTTATCATCAATAATAGAAAGCAAAGCAGAAAGGTAAGATAACATGGATCCATTTTTCAAAGAGAGTAATGACACTTTTACATTTTCATCGACTTTCAAATGTTTGGCAATGTCATCATGTTGGGATGGATTTTCATAAACTGTCTCTAATTTGTTGATAGCTTCTGAAGTTGCATCTAGTGATGCATGCATTTCTTTTAGCAGTTTGTTAAGCTCCGACATTACTGTATACGTTTGTTGGCTTACTTCGTTGTTGTTTATTAAAAACAATTATTAAATCGAACACGAAACCAATATTCTCTAGCCTTTAATGGTCTTCTTTCTTTCACTATTTCCTTCTTTTGTATTATCAACTGTCATTTATGGTTTTATAGCTCATCGCAAAACCCAAAAAATTTTTCACATTTCGCTTATCTCATCACACAGCACGAGCATCGTCTCATTGAAAAAATTCAAAAAAGAAAATTTTTCATTTTATAAGCGATGAGCACTAGCAGAAGAATACATGCACTTAAAAAGGCTTTTCTAAGTTAATTGTGTATACGTTTGATCCTTTCTTATATACTTCTAATATACCTTTTATTTAGAATATATTTGTTAAAATTAAGCAAGGCACTATCGTCATTTCATTTCACTAGTATCGTATAATGCCTCAAAACGAATATATTGAACAACATATCAAACAACATGGTCGTCGTTTGGATTACGAGGAACGTAAACGTAAGAGAGAGGCCAGAGAAGCTCATAAGATCTCTACTAAGGCTCAAAAACTGACTGGTTGGAAAGGTAAGCAATTTGCTAAGAAGCGTTATGCTGAGAAGGTTGCTATGAAGAAGAAAATACGTGCTCATGAGCAATCTAAGGTGAAAGGGAAATCTAAGCCAATGGATGAAAATGGAGATGCTTTACCTACATATTTGCTGGATAGAGAACAAACTAACACCGCCAAAGCTATATCTTCTTCTATTAAACAAAAAAGATTGGAAAAAGCTGATAAATTTTCTGTGCCTTTACCTAAAGTGAGAGGTATTAGTGAAGAAGAAATGTTTAGAGTTGTTAAGACAGGTAAATCTAAAACAAAGGCATGGAAGAGAATGATTACAAAGCATACATTTGTTGGTGAAGGTTTCACTAGAAGACCTGTTAAGACAGAACGTATCATTAGGCCGAGTGCATTGAGACAAAAGAAAGCTAACGTTACACATCCTGAATTAGGTGTTACTGTTTTCTTACCTATCTTAAGTGTCAAGAAAAATCCACAATCACCAATGTACACACAATTAGGTGTGCTGACGAAAGGTACTATTATCGAAGTGAATGTATCGGAGTTAGGTATGGTTACATCTGGTGGTAAGGTTGTCTGGGGTAAATATGCACAAATTACAAACGAACCAGACAGAGATGGTTGTGTCAATGCAGTTTTACTTGTATAAGAAGAGAGAAAAATATACGTGTGTTAGTGTGTTGTTGTTTTTTTCAAATTGGTTCTCCCTCTTTTGCATCCTTTATTAAATATATAATAAATAATAATAATTCCTCTTTTGTATAATAAAAATAAATAAAGAAAAATTTTAAATAGAAGCATTTACGTTTTAAGCTATTAATATCTTTATCTTATTTTATTTCTATACGAGAAAAAGAAATCTATATATATGCGCCATGTATAATACTGTTTTTACCAAAGTTATATAAAAAAAGAGATATATATACATATATAGCATAAGTACTATAATGTTTGTTTGTTTCCTGCCAAGTTTCTAACCAGCAATCGCAATTTAACAAATAATTTGATATTGTTGTTTGAATAATTTATATTTTAATAAAAAGAAGGTAAGGTTAAAAAAATAGTAGTAATAATAATGTTATGTTCTCTTTATATCATTCATTCCAAACGATGATTTAAAAGAACAATTATAAAGAAAGGGAAAAAAAAATAGAAGGAGATGGAGAATGGAGGAATAAAAAGGGGGAGAGAAATTGAGATAGAAAAAAAATGTATATATATATCATCTTATCATTCTTGACCAAAACCAATAGTTTCTTCAACGGCCAAGGTTAGTTTTTGTTTCAAAGCTTCTGCATCAGTATATGGCGGTAAATCAACTCTATTGAAACAAGTATGTGATTTTGGTAATTGTTGAATCTCACCAGCTTTTTCAATAGTGAATCTTCTTGGACCATCAGACCCTTGTAAATCTTTAAACCCATTAACTGGAATTCTTGATGTACCTGTAGTAAATTGTAATAATCTTGCTCTTTGTTCATTATCCCATTCACTAACAGTTTTCCAAAACCATTGAATTGCATCATCAGATTCTTGATAACCTCTATAATCTGTATGTTTTTTCCAATCTTCAATATCAATTTCTGCAATACCCCCGATTAATAATTCTAATTCTCTTTCATCAAATACTGTAACAAGATCTTCTGGAATTAATTCATTGAAACCATCCATGAATGCCTTCAATTGTTCTTGTACTCTATCAACAATTTTCCATTGACTAAATAATTCGACGTATTCTTTCTTATTTTCATCTGTAACTTCAATATTACGTCCATTTGGTTTTAAATCTACTGTAACCACTTCACCGAATCTTTCATCATCAGCACTAAACGTGAGATCAAGAACACCATCGATACTATTCTCAAGCATCCAATTCAAAGAATTATAGACTTCAGCATCAACACCTTCCATATCTTGTAACATAACTTTCTTTCTTAACATCATTTTATATAATGCACCAACAAAGAAAGCATCTAGGAATCTTCTATGGAATACACCTAAACCAACAACTCTACCAATGAATTTGAAATAATTCAAATGTTCAGGGTTAATACCAGAATTTGGATTAATTTGAATAGTGTAATTATCATGAGCTGAATATTCAAATAAACAATAAAATGGATTAAACATTTCATGAGATAATAAAAAGAAAAATTCACGAGACACACCACCATAATCTAAACCTTCTTCACCATCAAATTTAATCATTAATCTTTTCTTTAAATCTTCTGGTGTTTGTCTCATTATTTCTTGATATGCATCTTCAAAGATATTCTTTCTACGAACTTTAATATGACATTGACCTGGTAAAATTCTTAAAGCGGGTTGCGATCTAAAATAAATTACTTTACGTCTAAAATCTCTCTTATATTGTGGAACATTTTGATCTAATGATGAAGGTAATCTTGGATCATCCCAAGTTGTTGTCTTTGTATTATGGTCAACAAAATATACTCTTGCAGTATTTGTTAATCTCATTTCCCAACCGGATGGTAAAGGACCTAATTGTGATACAGGTTGTTGTTGAATAGTTGTATTTGTTGGACCATAAGTACGAATGTATTGTTGTCTTCTTGGATCAACCCATGTAGTTGTCCTTGTGTTATGATCAACAAAATAAGCACGACCTTCAGGTGTGAATCTTTGTTCCCAACCTGAAGGTAATTCACCTAAACCTGATGTTGTTGAACCTGATGCAGCAAAAGCTGACGCCACAGCACCATTTACAGCAGGTGTTGCACTATTATTATTGACTTGAACACTAACATTATTTTCTGATCCATTAGTCGAGCTTGAACCTGGTAAAGTTCTACCCCTATGTTGTCTTCTTTCTAATTCTGTATTTGCATTTCTTTCATCATCAGTTTGTCCAACAGTTGGACGTTTCCACGTCGTTGTACGTGTATTATGATCAACGTAATAAGTCCTACCAAAGTTATCTGTTCTTCTTTCCCAACCTGCAGGTAAACGACCATATTGATCTTCAAATGAAGAATATTGTCTACTATTAGATGCACTACTATTATTGTTATTGTTTGAAGAAGATGTAGTACCAGAGCCTGAAGTATTGGATGTTGTTGCACCTGCACCTGCACCTGCACCTGATGTTGAAGCACCACTCTGTAATGTATTCTCAACCGATTGAGCAGCTGTAGTAGTGGCAGCAACATGATTATTATTTGTTGTTGAACTTGCTCTTGATGATCTGTGCGTACGAGAATTATTTGTTGTGTTGGCAATTGTATCAGTAACTCTTGACATTACAACAATCAATCTCCCACTAACAGCTAAATTATCATTTGATCTTTTCAAATCCCTAGTAATAGTTTCTTCTTTACCACTATGAGTGTCGTTAATATCCCCTAAAATATCATTAATTTTGATATTAACAACACCTAAAAAACCTTGATCTTTTTTCTTAAATTTTTTTTGATCAAATACTTGGATAGTTAGAACAGAATTTTCATTAATATCGTTAAATTTGAATGTTTCATTCCAATAAGGGTTCAATGTCTTTTTAGCTGCAGTTGTTGATTTTGTTTGGTATCCATCAACTGTCAATACTGCAAAGGGATCCGGCGATCTAAATACATCTCTCTTATAAAGAGATTCTGCCGCTACCAATTTCACCGAGATAGACATGCCTTTGAGATTACCTATATTGTTATAGAAGAGTCTATCTCACCAATTCAGCAATATATACTATATATATATATATGTGTGTGTATATATTATATAATGTACATCTATTATATAAGGTATAAATATCTATAGAAGAGAAAACAGTATATTATTACTATATATATTCAGTCACCCGCTTTTACCTTCACCATCCATCCCGTCTCCCCATTACAAACAATTTTAACCTCTTTGCCACAACTGGGGACTATTTTGCTACAAGTTAATTTACTATCAATTTTTTCTTCTTTTGTATGCGGGACAGACAGACAGCGAACAGTGAGGTGAGGGTAAATAGCGAGACGTGCTTCTCGTTGTAGAGATATATATATGCATATAGGAGTAGGGCGGCGGTGTGTGGGTGTGAGTTGTTCAGGGTAACACCCCCGGGATACAATATATAATATTAATAGACGCTGTGAATATACAATGTATTGTGTATACAATGAGCTGCACACTGCACAGTGCACGGAAGATATATATTGCACGGTGTGTATGCTGTGTGGTGGTAGCAGCACAACTCGTTAAGCCTGTTTGAAATTAGCAAATTGCCGCTTTGCACGCTGAACGGAGAAGAAGCAGAAAGCGATGTTAATTTATTTTCCGCAGCTCGAATTGGGCGGAGCTGTGGTATTTTGCTGCGGTTTGTTTATATTTCCCATTTTAAAGGCCAGGTTAAGGGAAGTCAAAGGGACATTTGGGAGTTGGGTTTATTTACTATAGGGACGATGACTAGCTGCTGGTGATATTTATTAGCTGAGAGTGAAATTGCATTTGTTGCAAGAGAGAGTATATATATAGAGAGAGGGAAAAAGAGGTGGATGGTGGCAGTGGGATCTTAGTGTACTATTGTCAAGTCTTGTTATGTAATTTGTACAGTATTTTTATATCTGTGTACACACATACACATACACCCCCCATACCCTACACACACACACACACACGATGAAATATTATGAACCGATAGGTGTATTTCGTCAACCTGCAATGTATAATAACTACAATAATGAAATATCTTATAATAATAAAAGTTGGTTAAATCATTACTACAACAATACTACCACTAGTAATAAACCACATTTTCATCGAAGTTTACGGAAAGTTTCAGAAGAGTACAATGATCATTATATTACACAAAAATTACAATCAGATTATTGGACAACAAAACAATTGACTGATGAAAATGTTATTTGGAATGATATTACAGTATCAAACGTTAATGATAAATTATGTATTGCAAATAATAATAAAAATAGTATACAATTATCGCTTTTCCAATTATCACAGGATTTGAAATATGCTAAGAGAGGCGTATCTTTGAATAAATTACATAAAGTTACTTTGCCGAAGAATAATCCAGTAACAACTTTATCATTTGTTGAGTTTCATTCAAGACGTCATCAAAATGATTTATTATTAACAGCTCATCAAAATGGTTACGTTCATTTAATTACTACTTCAAGTTCAGATGGTTCACAAATTGTTTCAAGATTTAATCATTCGAAATTTATGACTTTTGAAGGAGATGCTTTGATTGCTGGCCATGTTGGTGCTATGCCAATAAGACAATTAGAATGTGATTTAAATTCAAACAATGGGTTCGTTTCATTAATTAATGAATCTTTATTCATGTATGATATTTCCATGAATAAATCACCAACTTATTTAAATCATTTCCCTTCAATTAATAGTTTTGCACTTCATAAAGATACCCCTTTAGTTGCATTGGCTCAATCGACAGGTATATCCTTCTTAGATGTTAGAGACTCAAATCAACCAACTCTTTACGCAACAGGTAAAAATATTATTACCACTGAATGGATTGATCAACATACTATCTCAATTGGTGAAGCCAATAGTGGCACTATTCAATTATTTGATATTCGTATGTTACAAGAACAATCTACAACGGTGCCTTTCCTGGAGTGTCATTTAGATATGGATGTCACAGCACGTTCTTTAAAATATGATTCAGAACACAAGACATTATCTGCATTAGATGACATGGGTACATTGACACGTTGGGAATTACCATCGGGTAATAACACTATTCCGCAACAATGCTATTTGAAAAATGGTTTACACTCAGTTAACCGCGGTAACAATGATGATGATAACAATGATAACAATAATATTATTACAAATGTCTTGAAATGTGGTGATACATTGGTTAAAAATGGAAATATATCAGGAATGACATTATGGAAGGATACTGTAATTGCTCATGGATTAAATGAATTGAGTATACATAGAATTGTAGACGTTGAGATGTCTAGTACTGCCACACAATTACCATCACCAACTTCTTCTACAGTGACGGTGGTTGGTGACAAAGAAAATAAATTTATCATGAACTCTCCAGTTGAATACAATGAAAATGGTGATTCTGACGCAACTTCATTGTTTGATTCGTATAGTGAAGATGATCATGCAGATATTGCAACTTTAAGACCAGAACCTTTATCTCCTTTAAAGAACAATATTAATGATGATTCATCATTGAATAAATTTGCCTCTAAAAATTTAAGTTGTCAAACAATTGTTGAGACAACACAATTATTCAATTAAATAATCTAATTAAATATTTAATTATACAAGTACTAATATTATCTAATAACAATTCCGCAAAAGAAAAAAATATATATATAAATATATATATATTCACTATTTGTATTTTTTTTTTCTCTTGATTTGGATTTATCTAACGGCAACAGCAGCAACATATACCTGTAATAAACCGTGTCAGTATATTCCCATGACGATCATCTATTGACATGCTATCATCGGGACTACCTTCTCTCTGCTGTTGTTCATGATAATAGTTATCATGGCGGTTCTCTAATCTATTTGATTGATTTCCGTTGTAATAACGTGTGCCCATAGAATCATAATTGGTATGACGTATAGGCCTACTTGTTGTTGGTGTTTCGGCTCTTCTATTATTATTATTGTTGAGATTGTTCTTCGAGCGACTTGTTTGTGATATCCTATTCAATTTAGATGTATCATTATGATGAGATGTATCTTGACGATTATTACTATTATTATTGTTGTTGTTGTTGTTGGTATTAGTATGGTTCCGCGGCGTAGCATTACCATATCCATGTAAGTTTGCTCTTTTGTTAACCAAGATATTCCAGCCTTCACCATGATTAAGATCCATCCAATCATAATGATTATCATCCTTTAAATTCCATTGTGTTAATACGTCTTCAATAAGTCCAATTAAATAATCATAATCAGGTTCCTCTTCGAATTTTAATGATCTTGCATATTTTAAATATGTGGCAAATTGTTCCGGTATAGCACCATTCATTAAAAGATCATTAGGATCCAATTTTTGTTTTGTTAAACCAATCTTTTCATATTTTAATTTGTTATTTGGCGCTTTTAAACCTTGCCATGGTAATGATCCTCTTAAGAAATAAAAAAATACATGTCCTAATGATTCTAAATCATCTCTTCGTGATTGTTCTCTACCAAAATGTGTATTTATTGACATATATCTAGCCGTCCCACTCAATGATTTTCTTTCTCGATATGGTATATGTTGTTTAGTTCTTGGATCACGATATTGTTTAGCCATTCCGAAATCAACCATATATATTAAATTTGGATCACCTTCAGCACTAGAGGTAACATATCGTTGTGGATGTGATGATGACGATGATGATGATGACGATGATGACGACGACGATGAATGATTCAATTGAAATTCAGACACTAAAAAATTATCAGGTTTAATATCTCTATATATTAAATCATGTTCATGGATGGTTCTTACTCTTTGGATCATTTGTCTAGCTAATAGACAAGTGGTCTTCACACTAAATTTGCGACCACACCATTCGAATAAATCCTCCAATGATGGACCTAAAAGGTCAATAACCAAAACATTATGCATCCCTTCTTGTCCATAATAATAAGCATGCGGTATTCCACGGCAATCATTCAATATCCTGTAGGCTCTAAACTCATCTCTCAATTGTGGTGCATCCGAGTTTCTTGGTTCAAATTTAATAGCCACCGGTTCTCTAGCGTCCTTGTTTAATAGATTCTCACCTTCGAAGATGACACCAAAGGAACCCTCACCAATCTTGGGACCTAAAGCGTAGTGTATCCCCACAATATGTTGATGACGGAGAGGCATTCTTTGAAAATATAATGACAAGTGGTTGGATGGTTTGTTCTTGTGTATATTCCTGATGACGTCTAGTTATTAGGGAGCTCAAAGTTCTAAATATTGTTGTGTCAGTCTATCTATAACCTATGTTTCTTATCATTTTCTTCAAAAGAAAATTTGTATTATGGAAGAAACCAAAAAAAAAGGTCCTTTCCAATTTATCTTTTTGCCATAGTAAATGAATGCAAAAAAAAATAAAATAAATAATAATTTTTCAAAAGGAAGAGAACGCGAATTTTGATTGTTAAGGAATAACAAATAGAATACAAACAGCACATATTAAATAACAAATTCACGTTGCTAGTGATATACAAAGTAGATAGACGAAGTTAAAGACAGATAGATATCAAGAAACCAACAGAACGTTTTGGATTGGGAGTTATATTTTGGAACTGTGAGGGGGAAATACTTGTTTATAAAGAGAGTAATAACAATAGCTGCACAATGTTGGAATTAAATGGGAAATGTCTAGCATTTCATGGGCCATTACTTTATGAAGCTAAGATTTTACGTATTTGGGATCCAAAGAATAAAAAAATCGATTATAATGAAGAGGAACAAGATAAAGAACGGATCAAGCAAGATATTGAAAGCATCCCACAGGATTTAGTCTCTGATCCATGCTATTTTATTCATTATCAAGGCTGGAAAGCTACCTGGGATGAATGGATTGGAAATGCACGTATTAGAGAATATAATGATACAAATATTGCATTAAGAAAGCAATTAGTTCAGGATGCAAAGGATGCAAAGAGACAACAACAAGAATTGAAAAAACAGAAACAGAAACAAAGTACGCCTACTGGTGGTATTAATAAGAAACGTAGTAATGGTCAGGAATCTTCTATTGGTAAGAATGGTAGTAATACAGGAACAGGTCAAAGTCGTAGTCGAAGTGCAAGTGCAGTCAAATTATCAGACCATACAGGTAAAAATGGTACAAATAGTGGCAACAATGATAATTCCTCATTGAATCCTATTAACGGTAGTAGTAGTGGATCTACTAGTGCAAATAATGGAACATATTCACAACAATATTATAATAATTTAAATCGAAATCTTCCGAAGATAACTATGCATATTCCATTAAAATTAAAGTCGATACTAGTTGATGATTGGGAATTTGTTACCAAAAATAAAAAGTTATGTAAATTACCACGTCCTTCAACGAAGACAAATGATCAAACGATCACTGGAATATTGAAAATTTATCAACAAGAAGTGATATCTGGTGGTATGACTTCATTAGTGGAACAGTCATTACTTGAAGAATATATTCTTGGTCTTAAATTATATTTCAATGAATGTTTATCCAAATTATTACTTTACAGATTAGAAAAATTACAATACGCTCAATTAGAAGAAAAATTACAATTACATAAAAAACAAGAAGAAGGTAGTAATAGTCCGATTATAAATAGTACTCCCTCAAAGGTTGATCTTTGTAATGTATATGGTTCGATACATTTATTAAGATTATTAAGTATATTGCCAGAATTAATGAGTGATACTACAATGGGGACACAAAGCTGTCAATCTATAGTGCGTCAAACAGAATCTGTATTGTTATGGTTTGCAGTACATGCAGATACATTATTCGATACCTCTGCATTAGATCAAGATGGGGATACTTACTATATCAATACTTCTAGTCAATACGAAGGTCTAGCGCTTGGTATGTAAATAAGTTCAAATAAGGGCCACTTCCTCTGTGAAAAAACATAAACAAATTAAAGAAAAAAAGAGAGAAAAAAGAAAGGTGTTGCATATCCTACGCACCAAATAACAACGGTTCAGTACCTATTATGTAACAATACAAGTTTCAGATACAATATAGATTTATGTATATGTAGTAATATATAGACATACATGTAACAATGGTGAGAACTTTGTCGGTCGATTAATCATCCCGGAGCGAACGAAAATACATTAATTGCGATAATTCCTGACTATTAAATACTCATTCAGTTCATTGCATTACATTGAATATATTATACCTATCGTTGTTTCTCATTGTTCCCATAATAGTATCGTGCTTGCTGTAGTGAAGATATAATCCCCCCCCCCATAAACTGCCTTTTTTTACTGTTCTTGTCATATTTGTTCCTGATTGGCCGTTGCCCTACAGCAAGAAAGAATGACAGACGGCTTCCAATTTTGGGCGTTGTAAGTACATAGAACACAAGGTGACAAGTACACGGTCACACCCAGCCTTCTTGATCCCATCCCCCGCATACATACACACAATCCCTTAATATTCTTGTGAAAGAGTGAGAACTGACTGACCTGCTAACAACTAACTGTTAAATGATTTACAGCGGAATCTCTTTGCTGAAATATTTTTTTGCCCGCTGAAAATATTTGAAGGTCCCTTTTTCTTTGCTTCAAAATAAAGAAAAGACGAAAAAAACAGAGAGAGAGAGAGAGTGAAAGAGTTAGTAATAGCAGTACAAATAAATAAAACAGAGTCATACATCTGCCACACGACTCAAGTTACTACATCAAAAGAAGAAGAAGAACAGGAACCAGAGTGTTAAACGATGGTATTTGCTACATCAAAGCAAGAGGCTATGGCTACGGCGACCACAACAACAACAAGAGCAAGTACAGACGAACTGTCAACAGATACCGCAATATATTCGACGGGAAGTAATAACAACAATATTAATAATGGTTCTAATAACAGTAACAGTTCTAACGATGGGGAACATCAACAACATGAGAGATACGAATGTCCTCATCCCGATTGTAACAAGAGTTTTTCAAGACAAGAGCATTTAGGTAGACATAAATTAAATCATTGGCCTAAAGAGATCTTTACGTGTCAATATACATTCCCAGAAACTGGAGTTTCTTGTGGTAAGACATTTGTTAGAAAGGATTTATTAGTAAGACATGAAAAGAGACATACTAAAGAAAAGAATAGGTTGCATGGTAAAGAAAAAAGTAAAGATAATGCAAAGACAATCTCCGAAATTAGTAATAGTGCAAATAATAGCCCAAAGAAAGTTACTAAGAGGAAAACTAAGAAAAATATTGTATCAGTAACTGTTCCGGATGCAACGGCAGTTCCTGTACCAAAAAGGAAAAGAACTAAGAAAACTACTGTGAAGATAGATAGATCTGCTTCTGTTCCTATTACCATAACTCAGAATCCAATTATTACTAATACTACTGAAAATTCTATACGTGATAATCTATCACAAAAATTTAATTCAAGAAGTTCAGTCGCAATGACAAACCTCAATAATGGTTCTAATGATGTAACAAATAATAGTATGGGTAATATTGGTACGTCTTTCTATTCAAACACTAACAATGGTAGTAGCTCTAACTTTTTCGATTGGTTATGGGCACCGGATACAAAAACTAAAATTAACATGAATTTGATAAATGGAAATAGTAATAATAATAATAATAATAATAATAATAACAGTGGGAATAACATTCAAGGCAATAATGTAAATAATAGTAATAGTATGCCAAATGTTAATGTAGGTATTCCCCAACAACAGCAGTTACCAATGCAACAACAACCTATACAGCAACCTATTCCATCTCAGATGTCTCATCAGATGCCACACTACCAGCTTCAACAAATGCAAATGCAGCAACAGCAACAGCAACAGCAACAGCAGCAAAACCAGATGCAACCACCTCAATATCAACAACATCAACAGCAGCAGCAACATTATCCATCCCAACAGGTACAACAAACGCCTCAACAAATGTCTCAACAAATAGGAAGTCAAGGGACAACTCCGTTTGGTAATCCGATGACAAATCCAATGGGAACACCACAAGATTTATTTGGAGTAGATTATTTGAACCCTGATCCTTTACAACATTTCATGCGTGAGATCAACTCGTCTATATTCCCATTTACATCCACTAATGATGAATCTACTGCTGCAAATAATAACAATAATGAAAACGTTAACAATAATAGTGTGGGAGATAGTATAAGCGCTAATGTGTCGCCCACAAATATGACATCACCTGATAGGAAATTGTCTAGTACTGAAATACCGCATGGTAGAATCAATAATGTCACGAATAATTTTAAAGTAACCCAATCTTTGTCTGATTTACAACGTCATTCCTCAGAGCCAGGATTGTACTCTAAGATTAGCCAAGATGATACCAGGCGTCAAAGTTCATCAATAGATGTTTCAAAGGATAATACAAAAGTTGTTCCACAAGCAAAATTGAGATATTTTGATACTCGTGGTGAAGATGTAATTGACAATTTAGGAAAACAGAAGTCAAATATCAATGACATGAGAAGACAAACCTCTTCACCTGGTAGTAATAGTACAGAAACCCAACAAAGCCGTCCTTTAGATATCGATGCAAAAATTGATGATGTTATGGATTCATATAAAGAACAATTAAAATCATCCTTAAATGCGATCCCTTCTTTATTTTCATCTGATCCTAAAACTAAATATGCATTGTCAGAGGCTAAATGTATGGCTTTGTTTCAACATATCCCTGATATAAAATCTATCCCTCAAAGAGTTCTGCAAATTACTTTGAAATCATTTTGGGATAATTTTCAACCAAAATACGGTTTATTACATAAACCTTCCTTTCAAGTTAATAATGAACCAGATATTTTAATTCTATCTCTAATTATGACGGGTGCTAGTTATTTAGGCCCTCAATATAGAGAAACAATTTCTGATCCAATATGTGGTCCCTTAAGATGGATGATCTTTTCTCATCCTGATTTTCAACCACCTTCTCATACTTATATTATTCAAGCATTATTACTGCTAGAGAATTATGAAAAGACATGCACGAACAGATATTTACATGAAAGATCTTACTTACATCATGGTACTACTATGCAATTATTAAGAAGAACTCCGTCATTAGGTGGTCATCCATTGAGGGATAAAAAGAGGCATAATCATACTGATGAAGGTTCACATTTAGATGATTTCTTAAGTGAAGAAAAGATTAAAAATGTGGTAACTAGGTGGGTTGAATTTGAGAGTTTGAAAAGGGTAGCATTTTTTGCATTTTATATGGATGTAACTCACGCTGTTATCTTTGGTTATATGAATTTATTTATTAGTTTTAAGCAAGTACATTTAGAGTTACCATGTCCAGATGAATTATGGTCAAGTTACGATTTAAGTTTTGAGAAATTATCTGAATTTGGATTCTTTGGAGATGGTACATCAAATTACAAGAATATTACATTTTTATCCGCTTTAAAATATTTAATTAGAGATGTTTTGAAAAAATTGGATAATAAAGAAGTAGTTGATACATCTACAAATGGTAAAAATGGTAGCGTCACTGGTAATGATGATGATAATGAAATGAGTATATTATTTGATAATGGTAATCAAAGTGTCTTCGGAAAGAAAATTTTATTAGCAGGGATCCTATCAATGATGTTTCAATGTCAAGAAGAAGCCTTTGATCCGTTAATTGGTGTTGGTGCATTTATAAAAGGGATTGGCGAAGAGATTACTAAGACAATGACATGGAGAGAAGTGATGGCATTTGCTATTAATTATTGGTTTTGTGAAATCCAGCAAAGTTGTAATGAGACTATTAATTGTTTAACACATGATAACACTATTGATGAAGATGACGAATTTGCTAATGAACCAATCTTACAAGTTTGCGATTGGAATCGTAATGAATTAGATTGTAAGTTACCTGTATATCATATGTCTCAAGTGATATTAAGAATATTTCATCATGATTATTATATTTTTGCAGGTGTTCCTTGGCGTATGAATGTTAGGGTTGGGGAAACTGAATTTGATTCAGTGTATCAAAAGATTTTAAATTTTGCACAAGATAAATATAATGGTGGTGTTACATTAATTTATGCTTATCAATTTTTATTCCAAATGTTTATTCGTGTAGATAAAGATGATCCAACAAAGATTACTGTTGATCATAGTTATGATCTAAATACTGATATTTACATGACTCGTCCAAATACTTTGGCATTAGTAACATTATTAATTTGGAGTTTAAATTTCGTCTTATACGGACCTGAGGTTAATATTTGGGATAATGGTTTAAATCAACGTCATAGTATTTCATCATGTTATTCTAGTGATAGTGATCCAAAAGTTGCATTACGTAACGAATTCAATCAACATTTGAAACAAAAATATGCACCAGTTGAGTCATTTGATGACTATTTAATTCGTATGTACAAACTTTTGTACATCCGTGATGATCAGGATGTAATTTCTTTCCATAATGAAATTTTCCAAAAGGCAAATTTGGTACCAGCTATTCCAAGAAAACAAAATATGTGTGGATTTTTAATGCATATTATTGCAATCTTCTCTACCAGTTATTGGGATCTAGGTAAAGAATTCAACCGTCTTCTTGAGAACTGCTTGGAGAGATCCTTAGGTAAATCATCTCATACTTGTTATAACATGTATGACGTCTGATGATCATATAAAACATAATCTATGTTTAAAAAGTTATGGTTCAGCCGTGCATGTACAAAAATATACAAATATGGATGATTTTGCCAGTTCATCCTTAATTAACCTCTGTGTTATATCACCGGTTTAATTTAGAACAGTGGTTACAGTGATTAACCGGTATTTACAACATTCAGCATCTTTCCTCTTCCCGGACTTACGGTAGCAAACACCGATTCACATAGTTCCGCGTCGTCGAGATTTCGCAACTTTTCGGTTTCCGTCTGATTTTCGTTTGTTGTTATTTTGGCAGTGAACGGTGAAGAGAAAAAAGGATTAAAGATGATTAGTTAAATGAAAAATATTGAATAAATATTGGAAAGAGTGAGAGAGCCATCTATTGTGATTTTTCATTTAAGAGAGGGGGGAAAAAGAAAAGGGGACAGTGACAAAGAATATAATATATTTGTTTATTTAATTATATATATATATATATGTGGATATAAATAAGAAACGGTTGGTTTCGATGTTTGTTATGAACAACTAAGACTGAACAGAATACCCTAACTTATTTTATTAAGCACTACATTATTTTTGCTTATTTTGCTATACATTTCCGCTGATATTTACATGCATATATTTATATAGAATACTATCATTATTCTCTCTACTGTTTTTCTTTCTTTGGTAATAGTTACACATTCACATTCAAAGTTATTTTTGGTACGTATGATTCGATTGTAACATTATGGAACAAATTAATTCAAATAGCAGGAAAAAACTGCAACAATTAGACATATTTAAAAGATATGCCGCTGAATCTAAAGATGGCAATGGGGAACTTGTACTATCTTATAATGATTTTATTGAATTGATCTCTAATTCACAGAGACTTTATTCTACTTTAACAGACCATTCTTTTAATTTAAATCATGTACCGAATAATACATTCGGTTGTATTTTTTTCGCTATTGATGAGCATAATAAAGGTTATTTAACTATTAATGATTGGTTCTATTTTAATAACATTTTGGAATGTAATAATTATAATTTGATTTTATTATATGAATTTTTCAGAAAATTCGATATTGAACAATTAAAACATGATACAATAGAAAATAGTAATACTTCTATTGATACGCATCGGATGAAAGCTATTAATTATAGTGATCGATTCCTAGATTTCAATGATTTATTATTAAACGTATCACAATTTAAAACAACAATAAGTTTATTACAGAATTCTTTACAAAATGAAACAAATTCTCTTAAGGAGATCGGTGTATTACTTGATTGGAATAAATCGCCTCTTTGGAAACTTTATGAAATATTCCCATATGGTGGAGTTTCACATATGAAGAAATCAAACGCTTTTATTAGTTTAAATTCTTTAATGACAATGTTACAAAATGATTTAAAGAATGATAGATTAAAATTAGGCTTTGAACGATTAGCAAAACTTGATCCAAGACAAAACTGTTTAACGATATCAAAGGCTCAATTGATTTATCTTTTAAAAGGTCTTTATTCTCATAGAGTCTCATCTGATATTTTCGATTCCTTAGATGATATTACTACTTCATGGAATTCATTAAAACATGATAATCAAACCATTCCATATGGCGTCTATAGAGATGTGACATATCTATTCGAGAATTTTGATTTATTGAACCAAGTATTATTGAAACATGCAAGTGCTAGTGGATTGACCGCCAGTGATTTAAGAGAATATATTATCGATAAAGAGACATTGATGGATTTATTAAACACTCAATACAATAAAGTTAATAATTTGACACAATTCTCCCCTACACAAATTGATTTATTATTTAAGATTATTTTAAATTCAAAAAATTTACATAAGAGAAAGAATAATGAAGATAATAATGATCAATCAGAAAAGATGAAACATTTCCATGAGGATTCACAAATAAACGATTTTATTAGAACAGAGTATATGTATGGTACAAATGAAAAACCAAAGACTAAACTAGAATCGTTTAATGATAATTATATTGACCAATCAAATGAATTTTGTCAAGATACATCGGAATATATGGATATTCCAGGTCAAAAAAAATCCTTTTTCAAGCATATATTTGGTTCTAATACTAATACAACTAGTATTAATAAAGATGATGATAATTTGACTATTGAAGATTTCACAAAAATTATTAATCCAAATTATTTGAACGATATTATTCATATCCTAGAATTACAGAATGTTAAAAATAGTTCCCTATATGTGAATTATTATTTCTATCCAATATTTGATTCGATCTACAATTTTAGTTTGGGTTCTATTGCAGGTTGTATAGGTGCTACCGTAGTTTACCCTATTGATTTCATTAAGACCAGGATGCAAGCACAGCGTTCTAATGCAAAATATAAGAATTCAATTGACTGTTTGCTAAAAGTTGTTAAATCAGAAGGTATCAGAGGTCTTTACTCTGGCCTCGGTTTTCAATTGATTGGTGTAGCTCCAGAGAAGGCAATTAAATTAACAGTTAATGATTTTATGAGAAAAAGGCTTGTAGGTAATCAAAATCAACTGAGTGTAACTGGGGAAATATTCTCCGGTGCATCTGCAGGGATGTGTCAAGTCATTTTCACTAATCCTATTGAAATTGTTAAGATTAGATTACAAGTAAAATCAGAATATGTTGCTAGCGCAGACACAACGGCGATTCAAATCATTAGAAGTCTAGGTTTATCGGGTCTATACAAAGGTGTAGCAGCATGTCTAATGAGAGATGTACCATTTTCTGCAATATATTTCCCTACATATGCACATTTGAAAAAAGATCTTTTCCAATTTGATCCTAATGACAAAACTAAGAGAAATAGATTAAAGACTTGGGAATTATTATTAGCTGGTGGTATTGCTGGTATGCCTGCGGCATTCTTAACAACACCATTTGATGTTGTTAAGACAAGACTACAGATTGAACCAAAACAAGGTGAAACTAGTTATAAAGGTATTTTCCACGCATTTAAAACTATTTTAAAGGAAGAAAGCTTTAGAAGTTTCTTTAAAGGAGGTGGTGCTAGAGTATTGAGAAGCTCACCTCAATTTGGGTTCACCTTGGCAGCATATGAACTATTTAAAAATGCATTCCCTGTACCTTCTTTTAAGGATGATTTTAAAACGCCAAAAGATGGGTCGACAGATATAGGCTCATCCATAAATTCATTGGCCGTGTTCTCACAACAGGCTAAAAATAATTCCAAAAAGTCTGGTTACAATTCTAACATGGAATTATATGGACCTACTATAGACCCATATAGTTCAAACTATCTAAATTACTACTATAAGAGCTGTGAAGTGGCTAAGACGTTTATCGATCTAGATAGTAATTTTGCCAAATTTGACAGATCAGTATATTCTAAATTCAATGATTACTTGAAGAGCGTCAGGAGTACGAAGTAATCTACGGAGATCTAATGTATCCATTATGCATTTAAAAAAATGCATTAACAATAATAATTTATACTTACATACATTCATAAAACATTATATATTCAAGACAAGTCATCAAATAATTTAAGCATTCACTACTTTTATTTCCCAGGTCCACCTTTAATGAGTAACGTAGTAGGCAATAAATGTTTTTTGGCATTCAGGGTAATCTTGCTGAAATATTTTTTGCGATGAGATGAGATAATATTTTTCACTCGGTAAAATGAAAAAAAAAATTTTATCTGGTTATTAGAGAAATGCACAGTAGTATTTGAGATGAGCTATTACAGTTAAACGGTTATTGGCACTTACTTTGGTTATTTTGATTGTAGTAATCATAAATTGAAGTTGGTAAGAACAACAAAAACTGTAATAATTCAAACAGAGACGAAAAGATGGATATTTTTAGAGTTCTAACTAGAGGTGCTGCAATCAACAAAAAAGCTGCTGGTGTCAGCAAAGGAAATTCTGTAGACTACAGTAAAATAGGTGCCAGTAACACTCCTTCCAGTGAAAGACAGGAACATCAAATGACAAAAGAATTAGATTTTTTTCGTAACAAGAAGATAGTTCGTAAAGTTGAGGATTTAAAGAAAAAGGAGTCCGAGGAGGTCAAAGATGAATCTGATGAAGAAGACCAAGAAATTAAGAATGAAAATGATGATACTACTGATAACATGGATATTGGTCCAAAGATCACAAATAAAATGGAAGCTGCAGCTCTGCGTAAGTCATATAAGGGTAATCTAACAGGTGAAGATATTCCATTACCAATAGGGTCCTTTGAAGATTTGATTACTAGATTCTCCTTTGATAAAAGACTACTGAACAATTTGATTGAAAATCATTTCACAGAACCTACACCAATTCAATGTGAAGCTATTTCTACGACCTTGAACAACAGAGATCTGCTAGCATGTGCTCCAACAGGTTCCGGTAAGACATTAGCATTTTTGATCCCACTATTACAACAGATTATTAATGATAAAGAGTCTTTTGGTTTAAAGGGGCTAATAATATCACCTACTAAAGAATTAGCCAATCAAATATTCATTGAATGTATCAAGCTATCGAATAGAATTTTTTTGGATAAAAAGAGACCATTACAAGTTGCATTACTTTCTAAATCTTTAAGTATGAAGTTAAAGAATAAAATCATTAGCGATAAAAAATATGATTTAATCATATCAACCCCATTGAGATTAATTGATGTAATGAAATCAGAATCTCTAGACTTATCTAACTTAAAGAATATAATCTTTGATGAAGCTGATAAATTATTTGATAAAACTTTTGTAGAACAATCAGATGCAATTTTGGGTCTCTGTCAAACTAAAAATCTACGGAAGTCCATGTTTTCTGCCACAATTCCGTCAAGTGTAGAAGAGATTGCTCATAGTATAATGTTAGATCCAATCAGAATCATTATTGGTCATAAGGAAGCTGCCAACTCTAATATTGAACAGAAATTGGTGTACTGTGGTAATGAAGAAGGTAAGTTGATTGCTATAAGACAACTAGTACAAGAAGGAGAATTCAAGCCACCTATAATAATCTTTTTGGAATCGATTACAAGAGCCAAAGCTTTGTACCATGAATTAATGTATGACAGAATGAACGTTGACGTTATTCATGCTGAAAGAACACCTACACAGAGAGAAAAGATAATTGAAAGATTCAAGTCTGGTGAATTGTGGTGTTTGATTTGTACGGATGTCTTAGCTCGTGGTATAGATTTCAAAGGTGTGAATTTAGTTATCAATTATGATGTGCCTCGGACCGCGCAAGCATATGTTCATAGAATCGGTAGAACTGGTAGAGGTGGGCGTTCTGGTAAGAGTGTTACATTTTATACGAAATTAGACTCCACTGCCATTAAACCAGTAATTAACGTTATGAAACAAAGTGGTTGTGAAGTATCTGGATGGATGGATAAAATATCAAAGATGACAAAGAAAGAGAAACAACAATTGAAGAGGGGTAAAGGTAAAGAAGAAAGAAAACAAATCAGTACCGTTCCTAGGGCAGACCGTTTGAAGAGAGTACGTAAACAAGAAATGATTGAGGGGTCCAAGAGAAGAAAATATAAAGCGGAACACAAAGAAACTGAAGCTCATGAGCAGGACTAAGCGATACTCAAATAATAAATTAAACACTCCCATTATTTATATATAGGTATATATATTTCTAGGTACAGGTTGATTAATATGCATACTATTTTTTTAAGCAATTCATAATTATCTAAAAATACATATATATATATATCATATCAGAATCTTTTTAGTTGGCGATGAAACAGTAAAATTTCAGTGGATCTTAAGATATTGTTTTTTTGTTTACTCAGAAAGTGGCGGGGACTTTTTCTTCTAAATATAAAAATTCCCAATATTTAAACATTTACACACAATATTTGACATATATATGACTTAAAAATAGAAGGATACGGTTCCAAAAGGTTGCTATAATTGGGTTTGAATTGAGAAAACAGAATGTCAAAAGCTGTTTGTACCTTCGAAACTTGTAAGTGCAAAATCATTACTATCGATGACGCCAATGTCATCAGTTTACCAAATGCAGCTCTAGACACTTTTCACTTGATGAGACATCGTAAAAAAGAAGAGCATGAAAATAAAGAAACTTGTGATTTCCTAGTTGTTGGTGATGTTTGGGATTTTGATAATATAGGTGTGTCAAAGGATATTCCATCAACAGCAATTACTGACGTAGAAGAAGAATCTAAAATGACCACCGACAGCTACGAATTTACACACGAAGATAAATTATGGACTATTTCTAAATGCGTAAAGTATCTGATATGTGCTGATTGTGATAAGGGACCAATAGGTATGATATGTGAAGTCACTGACAAGGCTACAGGTTCTGATAAGAAACTCGTTCATATGCTATCTCTGAAAAGTGTCTCTCATTAGACAAAGCACAGTACCAGAATGGAAACAACATCCTTAAATAATTAAAATATTTGATAAGTTGAAACTACGTTAATATGTAGGTTCATAGGGAAAATCATTGCGTTGTTGTTCCTGGTAAATATATGTATATATATGGGAGATATTACTACAAATGTTACCCTCCTGGTCATATTTCTCTATTATCGTAGTTCGCGATGCCCGCGGTGAAAGAAAATTTTTCAAAGTGAAAATGTTTTTACTTTCAAGTGGCGATGAGCTCAGAATAGCAAAACCCGAGAGTTACTAGACTCTTTCTTCCCCCCTCCCGCTAGGTTCGATGATCTTCATAAGAGAACATAAAGTTTTAAGTAAGTATATTTATTCTTTATATATATATTTAAGAACTCAGAATAACAAAAACCAAGAATCATTTGATTTTATTTTACTGTGTTTGTATATTACACTTACTTTTTTTAGATAGATTTAAAAAAAGAAAAGCTTTAGAAACACATATAGCGAAAGATAAACTTTAAGTGATCATATCAATTAGTATTTTTATAGAAACAGATAATTTAAGGATTGATAACGACGTCATGGCTACTAGAACTCAATTTGAAAACTCTAATGAAATTGGTGTCTTCTCCAAGTTGACTAACACATACTGTTTAGTCGCTGTTGGTGGTTCCGAAAACTTTTACTCAGCCTTCGAAGCTGAACTAGGTGATTCCATTCCAATCGCTCATACTACTATTGCTGGTACTCGTATCATTGGTAGAATGACTGCAGGTAACCGTAGAGGGTTATTAGTTCCAACACAAACTACTGATCAAGAATTGCAACATCTAAGAAACAGTCTTCCAGACTCCGTTAAAATCCAAAGAGTAGAAGAAAGACTTTCTGCTCTAGGTAATGTCATTTGTTGTAACGATTATGTTGCTTTAGTACACCCAGATATTGATAGGGAAACTGAAGAACTGATAAGTGATGTCTTAGGTGTTGAAGTTTTCCGTCAAACAATCTCTGGTAACATTTTAGTTGGTTCATACTGTTCCTTGAGTAATCAAGGTGGTCTAGTGCATCCACAGACTACTATCCAAGATCAAGAAGAACTTTCATCTTTGTTGCAAGTTCCATTGGTTGCTGGTACCGTTAACCGTGGTTCTTCTGTTGTTGGTGCTGGTATGGTTGTTAACGATTACTTAGCTGTCACTGGTTTAGATACAACTGCTCCAGAATTGAGTGTTATTGAAAGTATTTTCCGTCTACAAGATGCTCAACCGGAATCTATTTCTGGTAATCTACGTGATACTTTAATCGAAACATATTCTTAAGTATGTCAGGATAATATATTAGTAAACGAAAAGAAACTTTTTTTTTTCAACTTCATTTATATTTTTTCTAACTTCCTCATATTGAAATAGAACAATTCAAATGTGTATTCAGACGAAATTACATCATTCATTATTTTTTATTTTTTTAGTTACATTAATCTCCTTTGAAACATATTTTAGTTCACTTTGTTTTTTGAAATAAAAAATATTAATTTTTTGATTGTTCTATTTTCAGCTGAAAGAAGTATTTGCTTTTGGTTCTGTAAGATATTAGAGAATAGGATAGAGTGGTATAATGTTCTATCCTATTTGCTGTGTAAATTATTCATATAAGAAATTGCATTCCTTTTTTTTTTTAATCATATATCATTAGTTAAGTTTGTTTAGTACAATTATTTCTCAGTTCTGATAATAGTATGACGGCGCATATTTAAATTTTTCTATAATTACTATGTAATATTTTTCGTATTCTAGTATGCGACACCATTCTCCAATACAGAAAGAATGAAAAAAATTAAAATTTAAATGCATGAATCTCTATCATTTAATAAAAAAAATTGGAATATCTATATCTAGTAGTATGTAGTTTTACTTAAAAGCAATATATACGAATAAGTAAATTGAGAAAGTTTTATTTTTTTTTTAAGGATATTATTAGTATTTGTATTATTCGTTTCTTGCATGGTCGAGCCTAAAAAATAAATCGTGCGTAGGGAGTATGCAACTAAGAATATCAGTTCACTGTTAAGTGGAACTTATTGGTTTATTTTAAATCTTTTTAGTGACTTTTTTACCTTTTGTTCTCTCTGTATTTTTTGTCTTTTCTTTATTCAGCAAATCAGCTTGTTTCTTGGCTAATTTTTCTAATTTATGTTGATGCGACTTTAAATGTCTCAACATATTACTTTTGACATTAAAACTTTTTTTGCAACCTACCCAAGAACATTTAAATGGGTTATCACCTGTATGGATTAAGAAATGTGTCTTAAGTGTTGAAGGTCTCGAACATATTTTACCACAAATGGGACACTGTTTTCTGCTTTGTGATAATGATTTTCCCTTCATTTGTTTATTGCCCGTAGGATCTATAAATTGAATTTCATTTTTAATTAATAAATTTTGTAAATCTTCACTTGAAGTCCTTCCTGGAATTATTGGGGGTGTAATTTGTTTTATTTGTAATGAATTATCTTGTTTTGGTGATAACGTTGGAAAGGCTGTAGGAGATGGGATTTTTAGAAATAAATTTGGGTTTAATGACTGATAATTTGAATTTGATGAATTCAATGATAAATTGATTTCAGAGTTATTATTAGTATTGTTATTACCCATGTTTTGTAGACGAGGTTGTACGGTTGATGTCAATATGTATGGAATGCTATTTCTTTGATTAATTTGACTATTATTTGTTAATCCTGAAGATGATGATACAGATGTCGTTGTTGATTCAAATCCTCTTGTACTATTAGTATTATTTATAGTAGATTTGGAATCAGAAGCTAATGTAGTAATGTCTGGACAAGATTGAGATGATGATTTAATTTGTGAAACTAATGATGACAATGGAGGTAATTTTATCGAGGAGACGTTATTTTGTGATACTGTTGTTGGACTTACATTACCATCACTATAATGTCCCCCAACTATACCTCCAATGCTACTTCCAGTACTACCACTATTATGACCATGATTGCTGTTACTATTTAAAGGTTGTTTAATTTCTTGTACCATTGATTGAGAAATCATTGGATTATATAGTGTAGTAGTATTTGTATTAGTATATCTTGGGTTCATCAATTGATTACTGTAGATTAATTGAGGGTAGGAATATAATTGTGGATGCGATTGAGAATTTCTCAATTGTGATATCATATCCTGTTGTTGAGGAATTATAATATTTGAAGTTGGAGAGTAATACGTTAACATTTGATGTTGAGGTTGTAATTGTAAATGTTGTTGTTGTTGTAATGGTAATTGATGAGTATTAATATATGATGGAGGCTGCAATTTTGGAGGTGCCGGTTGAGAAGGTTGATTCGTTGGCATATAGTAATATATATCTTCCATTATAATTTTCTAATAAATCTAATAATTATAATAGTAATAATAATATTTTTTTAGTGGAAGTATTAGTAGAAATATGAATTGATATTATTCAAATCAAATCAAATGAATAAAAATTATTAGTAACGTTTGGTTCGATTTTTTAAAATAAATAAATAAGTTTAAAAATAAAACTGATCCAAAAGGTATTATAATTAATCACGTAAATTAAAAATAGAGAAGACAAATATTCAATTAGTCCTTAAAAAATAAATGATGATTAATTTATATATGAAATATCTTTCTAATTTTTTTGAAAATAAAAGCTATTTTATGTGTGTCTGTCTGTAGTATAATTATTTTTTTTCCCTTCGAGTTTGGTTAAAAAAGAAAAAAAGAATATAAGAAAATTGTGAAATAAAATATCGAATCGATATATCAGCTTAAGTAAGTTGAAAGGAGAAGGGAGGAGGGGTAGGAAGATTATTATTAAAATAATAAAATAACCAAAAAAAAAATAAATTGGAATTAGATCAATTATTCACTATAACTTTCTTTTTTCTTTACCTTATTTCAGTTATTGTTATTCAAAGTTTAGATAAAGAACTAAAGAAGAAACCTATGGATATAAAAGATGACAGTGATAGGAGAAAAAAATATAATTTTTTAATTATCAACAATTTTATTTTTATTAAGACAAAATTTTGTAGGGATTTTAGATTCACGACTAATAAATTGATTGACCAGTAAATCTCTTTTTTTATAATTTTTTAATTAATTAAACTTTTCCTATTTGATAATTTTTGAATAAAAGAAAAGATTAATACTAATTAACTAACTTTTTTAATTAAATATTATTGAGACGTTGTATGTGTGTGAAACTAATACTGATTTTGAAATATATTTTTTTGATGTTAATATTCAGGTGACATAAACTGATATAAACTTGGCGATGAAATTAAAAAATAAAGAGAAATATCGTACAAAATTAATAAGAAATGATGTCGTAATATGAAATAGTTGTTGAAAAGAAATCAAATTAACTATTTATTATTTGAGGATTATTATCAAGTCCGGTTTACATAAGAGTTATGTCTGCCTATATATATAATACATAAGTATGACAACAAATGATATAATGAACTCAACAAGATAAACAAGACATTTTCATCATCATTACAATCAGAATAATGGTGATGAAAGAAGAAAAAAGAAGGATTAAAGTTTAATTCAAAAGACAGACAGACTGAGAAATTGTGTAAAAAAAAGAAAATGTTGCGAAAGATAAAGTAGTTGTACCGATATTTAATAAAATAATATTATGATACTAAAAATTTCAAATGAATCAAATTAATTAATTGGTTGGCTACTATGATTATCTTTTGAAAAATTATATATCGTCATTCTATCATCATTACTATTAACTATCTGGCACACACAAGCATGTTTCGCTTCAGTTTTAGCTTTTATTGATAGACGAAGGGGAAAGAAAAACTTCAAAAAGAAAGGAAGATGCATTCTCCCCCATTCATCAACCCATTCAACAAGATTTTGATTCTCTCACTGTTTGTCTGACCAGGTCATCGGCTGAAATGAAGAAGGGTGTAAAATAAAATAAATTTAAAGAATCGAATCATTGAGAAGAAAAGAAAAAAAAAGAGTATAATAAGGAAGAGGGTACAAATATAGTCTAATTAAGCACTATTTTTTGCAGGCAATAAAAGCGATGGAACTTAAGAATATACAGATATATTGTCTGTCATCATTGGTAACTAAACAGGTAGTAGTTATATAGCACATTGCAAAAAAATAAAAAAAGAGACTGGCAGAGATGTGTGTATATTTCTTATTATGTAAAAGTTTATAAGGCAAGGAACATCACTAAAGTCTCTATTTTCTTAATTTTTTTTTTCTTTTTTAATTGACTACGTAACTTTTACAACGAACGTTGATTGATTATGTATATCCTGGCGTATTAAAGAGGCGATCATAGATAGACTTAAATGCAAAGAAGTTAGGTAGATAGTAAAATACTAAAAAAATCTTGATTAAAAGTAAGAATATTGTAGCATATTGGTTACAGATTTAATAAAATAATTATTTAGTTTGAACTTATTTATTTTTTCTTTCTTTTTTTTGTTGTTGTTACTATTACTTTTAATATTATTAATAATAAACCTACAGTTGGTGGGTCGGCGTTTTTCCTTTCAACTCTTAACAGTTTTTAATAATTTAAATTATTGAGTTCTATTACCAATATATTCTTGCTTCTCTTCCTAATGGAAATCTTACGGACTTAAGTGTTTAGATTAGACCCAAATTTAAAAGAATACCGGAAACTAACACATTTCACTACTATTGTTCAATATTGGCACGGTTCTGTTTCTTTTTTGTGTGTCTACTACCAAAAGAGGTAGACCAGGCGCGGCCGTTCCAGTGAAAGCCAAGCAAGCAAAAAAAAACTAACAACTAAGATCAATGGGAAGCATAAAATCGAAAATGGACAGAAAAGTGCCTAAGGCACTATTGTAGTATCTTTCATTCTTTTCTTTTCTCTCACATCTTCTCCGAGCTTTTCTTTGAAGATACATATAACTAAGGGAAACAATGAGGGAGAGAGAGAAAGCGAAGGCTTATTATCACTACAGATATCGCGCAGGGAGGTACAGCACGGAAAAAAATATGATGGTCGCCAGTCATATTGTTGCAGAGTGTATCATTACCATGTCAAGGCTAGGTCATTGCTGCATTCTCATATAAAACAAAAGGGAGAGACAGAGCGACACAACGAAAGACGGAAACTCAGATCGCTATGAAGTTTAATTGTTCCTCTTTGTCTTTCTGAACTAAAAAAGAAAAGGGAGGAAAGTATCCTTTATTTTTTGGGTGGAGAGTGTGTCCATTTTCTTAGTGCATTCATATTTAGTCTTACCCGAAATATATTGTTGAGAAATGGTACTTTCGTTTGTTTGCTTTGGTTTATTGTTTTTTTTTGTATGTGACGGAGTACTTTCACTGGGTAATGGTTCATTTTTGCATTGGGCTGGCACACTCATATGCCTTTCTTCTACTATTTAGTGACCTCTTTTTTTTTTTTTGTTCGTTTGTTTGATTTTTATTTCATGCGGGAACGGTTGGGCAGGTAAATCTCACTTTTTACTTCTTTCAGAGTGCAGTAAGCGTAAAGAGGAAAATGAAAAGTACGTATTTTGTTCAATTATTTTTCTTTAAGTTGTCCTTGTTCTCTCGTAATTTTTGAGGTCTTATCCGATTGAAATCGAAACAAGATTAAAAATAAATTATATATCTTCAGAAAAGGCAAGAGAATAGAAAATATAAAATAAAATATAATAAAAGGTTTTTTGTAAGAATATTAAAAAAGATCAACTGCATAACATTTTTAATTTCTAATAAAAAATAGGTAGGGAAAGAATAGGAAATAGAACACTTAAGACGATCTTTAGTTTTCCGTACATGGATGGCAGAGTTAAGTTCTGCGCTCATTACTTGTAGTGAAATATTTGGTTTTTGAACCGAAAATAAGATTAATTGTTATTTGTGAAATCCATTGCTAGCATATATATATTTTTATTGTTAGAATATCTGGTTTATTGTTTTCTCTACTCATTCTCTTTGAAAAAACCCATGACGACAATATGATCTGGGATGATTTTTTGCCCAAATGTTTTTTGTCCGATAGGCACCTTTTTACATGTATTTTCTTATTTACTAGTTTATTTTTACTTCCTTTGTGGGTAGAAATCGGCTACTTCTATTCTTGTTAAATTTATTGAATTGCTGGCGAAGTAAAATTTTTTAATCCATTGTATCTACAGTGGGGACAAACTGTATGGTCGGGAAATTTTTTTAAAAAAAAAAAGGGAATAGATAATCAGGGATGATACAAGCAGGTATTCAGAACTACATAATTAGCAACAGTAATATTAGTATTGTTTTTTTATTTGCTTTTTTCCCATTGTGTAGTTACCGTTTCCCCTTGAAAAGGAAATTTTTTTATAGAGACAATAGGTTCAACGAAAAAAAGATTATTTATTTGCTTTGTTCTTTAAAGTTTTGCGGGTTAGCAAAGAGAATAAATTGAGTAGAATATGACATCATTTTCGTTAAGGATACGTGGTTTACAAGAATAATGACAGACAAGTTGTTGTTATGTGACTTTGATTTAAACTTTAATATCTGTTCTAGCCGTACTTTAAAGATCTTAACATTAAATTATTAATAAGAATATTCTTAGTATCTTAAGGATTTACTCGGTAATAGTTTATGCGTAACCGTCATATACATACAATTTGTATTAACTTAAAACAACACTTGTTAAAAAGAAGAAGAAAAAGAAAACAGATTTTCGTCATTCTTTCCTACTTCTTTTTAAAAAAAAACTTATACGGTATATATCCGGAATTGTGATCTATTTTACATTCAGCATTGTTGAACTAGTACGCCAATCTTCTATAAGAAATGAATGTATAATCTATCTCCGAAAAGTAGCAACAGCCGTTGTAAACAAAGAAACTTATTTTTTGTGCTCGTACTTTTATTATATTAATTATTTGATAAATCAAGAAATACTTTTGCACCCTACATCATATTACATCACTGAAGGAAGAGTCGAATTTTTTCAATAATTACATCGAAAGATTGNTTTTTTTTTTTTTTTTTTTTTTTAGCTGTGGCATTGTTAGGAAATATCGGAGAGGTATGCAAATATTTACTTATAACGCACAGAGAAACAAGGAGGAAAATATTTATGAAAAAAATATAATTTGACATCATCTATCTTGCATGAAGTCTAAACCAAAAGAGGAAAAATGGAAAAGAATTAACTGGAGGTTCAAATTTTAGTTTAAGAATAGAAACAAACAAATAAGGAAAGGTCCGGCCAATTTGTCATTTCTTATTAATCTGAAATTATAGAACTGTATCTTACAAATAATTCAAAATCCTAAAAAATTGAAAAAAAAGATTAATTTTAAATTTTCTTTTTGTTCATTTTGGTTATTGAATATAAGTTACAATGGAAGTACCAACATATACATTTTCAATAAGTTTTTTTCGTCTCGTATGTTGAGAAAAAGATAAAGTCAGAGGAAAAAATAGAGTAAAAACCAGAAATCAGAGTCATGCATAAAATTTTTTAAAAGAAGAAAATATAATTCAGGTACGCACAGCAAAAAAAAAGGTTACGACGGCTCATGCACCTGTCATCTGTTTAAGAATTTTGGGAATAATTCCTTAACAATGTGATGATGCTATGATAGAGATAATTTAAGTTAATGAATATTTTTTATTTTTAATAAGGTAAACTGATCGCCTTTCCCCTTTAGGAGGAGTATCGTGGACAACGTGGTGTTCTGATCTATTTTTAATATTCGATCTTATTTGTTGTAAGTTGTGCGTAGTAATAAGAAGTAATTTTAAATAAATAGTTTTTTTTCGTCATATCTATATGTACGTATTTTTTTATGTATTGATTATCTTTAGCAAATGAAAGAGAACAAGAACAAAGGAAAGTAGGAAAATGGGAAATGGAAGAAAAGATGACCCAAAAGATAAATTTTTAGCACTATGGACTTATCAATAATAGAGAATTTATAAAAGAAAGTGTATCCCTTATGCACGGCCTTATTAATTACTGTTTTAGGAACTAACTTGGCATTTTTGATAAAAAGGTTGGAAGGTAATAATAATATGTTGTTTAGTTGAAGTAAAAGAAATAAATAAATTATAAAGCTTGTAAACTTTAATTACGGAACATCTTTAATTTTTTAAATGGAAAATCCTTCCGTCTAACCAGTTTGTATTAATTCTAAACCCTCAACAAAATAATAGAGCATTATGCACCATCTCCTCAACATGTGTGCTTATTTATTTCAGTTTTCTTTTTTTTCTCACTAAGTCAAACCATTTTGTGGTTCTCTTTTCTTTTTTTTCCTTCTTAAATTTTATCACATTCTTGTTAAAAACCTTTTTTTTTTCTTTAATTGTTGGTGTTCTACTATTCAGTACAGTGGTTGATGTGGTAGCTGCATTGGAATCTGTGCAGGTTGAACCATTGTCTTTGAAAGTTTTCTGTCGTGACTTCTGATGTGTCTCTGTAAGTTACTCTTCACGTTAAAACTTTTAGTGCAGCCTGGTCTGGTACAACAAAATGGATTATCACCTGTGTGGATCAAATAGTGAGTCTTTAATGTGGAAGGTCTAGAACATTTTTTCCCGCAAACTGGGCATTGTTTCTTTTGTCTAATCTCGGGGCTTAGATGTTTACCGATACCATCACAAACAAACTTCTTTCTTCTTGATTTTCTTTCAGGTTTCGAATCATTAATTTTGGAAACAATTTTGGTTGTGGTAGTTGATATAATAGCGTCACTGTCAATCTTTGAAGGCACATTATTGTTGTTACTGGAAACAGGAGAACGGGAAACTAAAACTGGAGGAGTCAAAGAACCTGTTGAAGGTGGTACCGTTGTAGCAGCAGTAACTGTAGTAGTACCTGACATATCTTGATAGATTGGAGTTACCATATTAGGAACCATTAAAGGATTGCCCATCATTACCATCATGTTACTTCTTGGTGTTATTGGAGATGAATTACTTGATGAATAACTACTACGAGTATTCTCTAGAGTGTGACCAGTCACTACTCTATCATTAGTTGGAGTACCTGCAACTAATTCGTTCTTATTGTTGTTAGCGTTATTATTATTTGACCCCATAATGCTGGAGATTGGTGGCAACTTAAAATTTGGGTTAGAACTTACACGTGAAATATTTGAATTAATATTATTATTATTATGAATTTGTTGAGTATCATAAAATTTCGTTTGAAGAATATTAGCTTGAAATTGATATGGTGGAGAAGACGCAGCAGAAATTGTTGGCTGATAATAATTTGAATACACACCAGGTGCATTATTACTTGTTGTTGTTGTTGACGAAGATGATGATGATGATGGTGTCATAGCTGGACCTGCAGCTGGAGAATTGCCGTAGGCTATTATTGGTACATTAGGAAATGGTAAATAGCTTACATTAATTGGAAATTGAGGTTGTTGTTGTTGTTGTTGTTGTTGTTGGGCAACAGAATTCCCGTAGTGATTTGGGTTATCACTGAAAACGTAATTTTTATAAATAATTCTTGGAGTTAAATCCATTGTTTTGAGAGAGAAATATAAATATATATATTAAGGTGATAAAAAGGGGGAAAGAAAATTATTTTAGTCGTGGAATGGTGGACAATTTTTTATTATTTTTTCTTGTTGATTTGTTCGTTTGTTTCTCTTTAATTTTTTTTTCAAACCTAAGAGAATACAAGTAAATAAATTGGAGAAATTCTTTTTTTTAATTTTGATTTAAAAGAATTTTAGATCGAATGTATATAATCAGGATGAATAATTTAATTCCAAAATAGAAAGATTAAATATACTTTATTAGCTTTTTTCTCTTTATGTAGCCGTGTTTAAAATTGAGTCAAACAAAGGGAAAATATATATACATATATGGCTTGTGTCAAACGTTAAACCATGTCTTTGACAGAAACACATTTCATTGATTTAAAAGAAAAAAACTAATTTAATTAGCTATATATATATTAATACATGGGTATACAACTATCTATATCTGTCTATTTGAGTTGCATGTATTTGAACAATGGGAAACTTCATTTACTACTGAAAACTGAAAAAAAAATAAAAAGGAGAGAACTAGTTGAGTAATAAGACTAAATTTACATTTGTGACCTACGGTGTTTTGACTTAACACCTATAAATTGGAAATATTAATTGAAATATACGTCTTAATAATTTTTTTTTTACTACCTATGTATCTCTCTTAAGTCGACAAAAAATAATTTTTTCTTAGTGTTTGCATAGTTACTACTAACAACGAAGAATACGATCCGCATAGCAAATCTTGATTTACTGAAGAAATACCTCTAGGAAACAAGTTGAACAAAGGAATAAAACTTAACATTTATTAATATATGTGGTTTTCTTTTAAAATTATAAATAAATTTGAGGTCCTACGTGGTTTCGTTTACAGTTTTGTTGAGAGAGCCTCTTTTGTTGACTTGACTAAAGGTGGTAAAATTAATATATATCTATTTTTTTCCCCTCGGGCTACGAAGATATATGAGTACAACAAGTATAGTAACGATTGAAAAAAAATTTAAACCTCCATGGGGAACTGACCATACCGCAAGAAACTTAGTTTTTTCTTTTTTCTAGACTTGAAACAAACGGATGGGTCGTCTAGCTTTGTTCCTAAGAGATCCCAGCAGAGGTGATGCAGAGAGTGCATTAGTAATGGTTGGTAACTAGTAGCAACCACTACCCCTTTAGGAAACTATTTGAAAGTCCTCTACATTATATTCTTAGCGGTGAGACAAAATACTGCATCGCTTTTAATACGTTTCTCATTTTTTGCTTTTGAAGAAAAAAGGTCATAATTTAACTACCACATTTCTTTGAAGTTGATTGCAGTTATGGTAAATTTCTTCAGCCAAGAAAGGGAAAAAACATCAACTGCCTGGTTTTATTTTCCTAGTCCACCTGTTTTGCTTTACAATTTACAACTTAAGAATTAAGAAAATGTAGCTGGATTCTTTTTTTATCTAATAGATTTCCATGCCACTGCTGTCAAATGTTAATTTTGATGTTTTATACAAGATATTATTACTAGTTAGGGTACTTTAATGATAACTTTTTTCTAAATTAGTGGTATTCCATATGTCAAATTCAAAAGAAAAAGGAAAAAGGTGAATAATTTTTATGGGGCTTCCATATTTTTTGAAAAAAGGTAACAAAAATAATAAACTTTTTTTACTTAAGGTATGATTTCCATAAAACAGAAGAATCAGTTGTTGGGTTGTGGCTCATTTATCCTATGTCATGTTCAGTTCACTCAAGAATGTAATTTGCTAATTAAATAAAAAAAAGATATATTTCGTGTTACACATTTCTTTTTTTTCCATTCATTATCACATCAAAGTATTAATGGTTTTGAAGTACAGGGGGGTTGTATACAGGAATAAGGTTTCTTCTGGTATTTAATTTATTAGCATTTTCTTTCTTTTTCCTTGCCTGCCAACCACCAAATTCAAATTCATTTATATCTGGTTAAAGTTTGATTCTTGCTCTAAATGCTGTACAGTGTCACTCCAACGAACGCAAAAAGATATGATAATTTACTACGTATTATACGTACATCATTTTAGTTATAGAGCTTAAGAGAAGTAACAACGAGCTATTCTCCATGGGGAACAAGTTGGAAAGATAAGAAACGTGGGAAAAACAAAATTCTCTCTTTTACCTTTCATAATAAATTTGATCTATTATTGGTATGTTAAGCAGCATAATGGTTAAGAAAATACGCTATGAGAAAGAAAAAGAAAAAAGAAGCTTGAAATAGAAGTAAAACGACAAACAAAGGAGTAGCGCCGCTATCTTCTCTGTGTTTAATGGAGTGAGAAGAAACTACGTTACTCTACGGAATATATTAGAAAACTACAGGTTCACATATCACTCGACTCGTGTACGAATTTCATTGGTAAAAACCTGGGTTTTTTTTTGTCATTTAACGACGTTCATATGATGAAAAAAATTCTTACCAATCAAAAAAAAACTTGGTACCATAACCATAAGTGATTACGGAAGCATGGGCTCGCCCAGAAAGTTAAGACGTACAAATCAGGAAATGAGTTTCTCGGATGAAAGGTCGTCCGGGAATTGCTACCATTTTCCTTCAGTAGAAATTGAAAAGGATCCTATCACAGCAGGCACGCCTACTTCTTTTGTTTCTGGAACAAGAGAAAAGTTGAAAAAAGAAAGGAGTTGGATTACATTGCTGGATAACAGCTTCGTTCGATCATTTTTTATACATGTTTATTGAAAATCATCCGTTAAATTAGAGCTCAAATAAGCTGATCGACAATAATTTCGAAGGGAAATGCCACGGAAGTCAAAAATTTCCATTTTTATTTGACTCGATCCGTCTCATTTCTTCTTTTGTTTTTTGCGTGGAGTTAATCACTCTACGCGTTTTTATTTTCGCTTAACGTCTATCTATTGCACAATCAAAAAACAAAAAAAGAGTAGAGTGAATCTACGTCCTTTGTACTGCAAATTCTGATTCTCATTGTGAAGTGGAAATGCCCATACAGTAATCATTTAGGAGGTAACAGAGGGAATACCCGTACAATCTCTGGGGCTCGACACATGGCATGTTCCACGGAATTTAGTTATCCGTCTCTGTAACCAACTGTGGTATTGATTATCGATGCTGATATATCGTTCCTACTAGTTTTATTAGAGATATCCTCCGCGGCGGATACTAGAAAGGTAAGCAAGGGTTTCCGAAGGTACAGTAAATTTCTTTTGGCAGTTGAAAGATATGTTTAAAGAGTATTGACATTTATTCATAGAACAAGATTACTTGATATGATATCACAACGTGTGCATCCTTTTGGAAAAAGGAATATGTGGCCTTTTTGAGTAATATTTTTATGTTATTTTGATAATCCTTATCATAACATATTTTGCTCGCTAATTGATTCATTAACTCCAATTACCCCGTAAACATTGTACTGTGTTACGTATGCTATCCGACGTTTGGCTGGTTATTTAAAATTTACTTTGGACTTATGAGAAATTCGGTAATTCGCTAAGCTATAGCTACGAATTTTCTTCGTTACTGTGCCAGTTTCATGGTACTTGGTCTTATCAAGTGCTAATGAGACCATCTTGTCGTGATAGATTGTCAAAGTACCCGGTACAAGATATATACACTCTTTCTGAGTGCGAATTATTTGAAGTTTTGTAGATATAAATGGTACTACTGTGGCTTTTTTAATGCTATGATAATGTGTGTGTGGCTAAGAAAAGATTAGTTTTACCATTATATTGGGAACCACTGATATGAATATGTTTCGTCTTGACATTTTATTTACTGCAGAAGTTAGTTCCTTAGTAGAGAGAAATTAAGATTCCCAACCCTCACGAGTGGAAATATCCACCTTATGTCCATTGGATAAAATATTTAACTTTCTCCCTCTAATGATGTGGCTCAGCTTTAGTAATTTTCTGTATTGGCGTGTCAGTAGTACGCGCTATTGACTGTAAATCTACCTCCGCGTCGTTCCTTAAGATGGTGTTTTAGCTGCGCTTTTTTAGTAAATGTCCTAGACAAACAATGGTGGTTTCAACATATCCTGACTTGGCAAACGAAAAAAGAAAAGATATTAGAAATTAAAAGGAGAGAAAAAAGGGTAATGCGTGGAATTAACCCAAATAACTACTTTTTTGGATAAGTTATGCGTCAGATGCACTTCTATTGTTCATTTTTGCTTTTTTCGGATTCATTGTAAGCACAGAATAAAGTCTGAAACTAGTGACGTGATGTTCACTTAATTCTTTCAAGCGAAACAGCTTTGTTTCATTTGATAAATATTTCACAAATTAGAGTCTTCTCCTGTTCTTGTTATTCTTTCCCGTAATATTTTCATCGTTCGTTATTTGTTATGGCTACTTGAATGTTTATTTGGCTCTTGGGTTTCTCACTATTGATTAAGAAAGTGAAAAACATAATATATATTGGTTTCTGTAACTGAAGAGCAGACGTGATTTTTTTGAGCTACGAAACATTAGCTACCAATTGGCAGAAGTTTTTTGAATGATAATACTATATTTGCTTTTTTACAATCACCATTCAGAACTGTTCAATAATCGTGATTGAAGTTTTCTAATATCTTTATTATAAGATAAACACGTCTGGTCTTTTACCTTGTCTCTATATGTCTATACACACATATATATATATATATATATATATATATATTTCGAGTAATCAAAATCATCAAATTGTAAGTAGTTTTTATTGTTCAATTTGTAAGTGAGCATCGAGATATAATAGATCTCAATGATCCAAACTGATTTACCGCGGCCGCACAGTATTGAACTAAAAATAAGAAAACTGAGATCGGCATGACTTCCTTCTATTTTCGAGAGAAATTTGACCGACAACAAAAGGAAGAAAAATATTAAAGGTGGACATCGGTAAAATTCGAATAATGGAAAACGCAAACAAAGTTAGCCCTAGATAGGGGACAACGTTGATCTATTTGTGATCTATATATATTGATAAGGTAACAAAAAGGTGTGCAGCTTAAAATTACACAATTTGTAATTATTGTTATATGTATTTGAGTAGACAAAGAAAGGAGAAAGGTCTATAAGGTTTAGTTTTGTTTCTACATAACCATGACTAATTCAACGGTAGCGATTATCAAGCAAGATTCAAATATGGCGTTTATAGCCGGTGGCATAGCAGGTGCTATCTCCAGAACAGTCGTTTCACCATTCGAGAGAGTAAAGATATTGTTACAAGTTCAGAATCAAACAGGTAATTCTTATAATAACGGGATTTTTAAAGCAATCAGACAAGTTTACCAGGAAGAAAATGTGAAAGGTTTATTTCGTGGTAATGGGGTAAATTGTCTTAGAATTTTCCCTTATAGTGCAGTTCAATTTGTAGTATATGAATACTCTAAAAGACATTTTTTCCATGTGGATGGAAGTATAGGCAAAGAGCAATTAAATAATTGGCAAAGATTATTTAGTGGTGGACTATGTGGTGGCTGTAGTGTTGTGGCTACATACCCTTTAGATTTAGTTCGAACAAGACTCTCTATACAGACCGCCAATTTACAAAATTTAAAACATGGTAAAGCTAATAATATGAGTAAACCTCCAGGGATATGGCATTTATTAAATAAAGTATATCATGAAGAAGGGAAGATTGTTGGATTATATCGTGGTGTATGGCCTACAATGCTATGTATCGTCCCTTATGTTGCATTAAATTTTGCTGTTTATGAACAATTAAAAGAATTTATTCCACCAAATAATGGCACAAGACAAAGATATTGGGAAGATAATTTATTAAAATTAAGTATAGGTGCAATAAGTGGTGGTGTTGCACAGACGTTAACATATCCATTTGATTTATTAAGGAGAAGATTTCAAATTTTAACGATGGGTAATAATGAATTAGGGTTTCATTATACAGGTGTTTATGATGCTTTAAAGACTATTGGTAAAAATGAAGGTTTCAAAGGTTATTATAAAGGTTTAACAGCTAATTTATTTAAAGTTGTACCATCGACTGCAGTTAGTTGGTTAGTTTATGAAGTAGTATGTGATGCGATTAAAGCCATGTAAAATTATTTGAGCAACTTACTACAAAGAAGAGGGTAAATCTCTCCTCATTTGTAACAAATTACAACAATTGTTGTTCATTTAATTAAGAGAAGTTGAGAAGACTACTATGTAAATATTGTTTTAGTGGGTTTTGTAGAGTTGTTAGATGTAATAAATATTCGTACTTTTTATGATCTGTTTTTTAGTTAGATATGAATTTTTTTTTTACGTTTATTAATCATTTTCACTCTTTAACCAGAAATGTGTAGAGTAAGAAGGTGCTGTAAACAAAAAAACAAAAGTGATTTGGAAAAATAATTGGCATATTTCGATTGATTATGTCAAAGCGTACCTTTTAAACTGAATATCATTAATATACGTAGAAAATACAGGTTCCCATGACCGTCTGACCTTTAAGGCCTTCATTTAACAAGATATCAAAGTGACATAAATCTGAAAATTAAACCCTAACCAAATAGTTTTTTAGGGTATGCACACAGACCCTAGCCTCCCAAGTACCTAAACCCTACTTTTCGTCTTCAACTTCTCCGCCTTTTTGTTACCAGAAGAAAAATATGAGCCTTTCCGTGGATTTGATTGGCCAACATCGCTCACGAAAATAACAACGGGGCCACCCGCCACTAAAATCCTGCAAGGGCCTCACGAAAGCATTAATTTGTTTGTTTTTTTGTATTTTGATGATGAATGTTATGATTATTGCAACATCCTTCAATAAAACTAACTTAATTCTGTAGTTTGTACTAAAGAGAAGTAAGCGTTCTGATTTTTTGTCGTCCGAAAAGTCCATTTTTAATTCATTTTTGCTTTAAGTTGTCTCCGGGTTTTAAGGGGTTTCTCACACTAAGTTTCACTTTATACATACATACATATATATATATATATAACGTTTACTTTCTCGATAGCTGTTCTTTTTTGAATAAGTAACTTATTTTCAGACAGTTTGTTTACAAACCTCTGTTTATTTATTTCTTTATAGAAGGAGAAGTCTTAGTTTTTGACCGTTTAGTTCATCATTTTTTTTTTTTTTCATACTTCAAGTGATTTTATCTTTTACTATTTTAAGTTAACCACGTCTGTTTTTTTAACGATTCATAGTTTGAAAGACAAATACAAACACACATATTTATACACATAAACTACAATTCCATAAAAAAATGCTACCTACAAGAGTATTACTTAACTCAGCAGTATGTTATTTTAATGTTCTTTCTCCCCTCTCTTCACAATCTCGCTTTTATTTACTAACAAAACATTGTCGTCTGTATCACTCAAAATACATATTAAATAATATATTTTGAGTAATATCATGTTGTAAATTGGTATTCAAATAGAAGAAAGCTACTGGTCCAAAATTTCCTGTTGAATTAACTCCTCTATTTCTAGCTGTTTGTGTAGCTGTTGGTTCAGGTTGTTTTTTCACTTACAAAAAATTAACTACTGATGACACTCTAAGGTTGAAGAATAATCCAGAAAATACTGGTCTAAAAGAAATTTTAAACCAAAAATAAGATATTTAGAGAATTTAATAATAATCGTTTTCCCATCGTTATTTTTGTTTTGATTTGATACGTTTTATTTCTCCTATCCCCCTTTTCGTTTAATACATTCATATTCCTCACTTACCTCCAATAAATTTATTAATTATATGTATATATATATTTTTAAAATCTAAGAATATATATATATTAAATTTTAACTACATGTAGAGAGAGAGAGAAGAAACCAAAAAAAAATATTAAAAACAAGGAAGCAGTAAAGTTTTATTAACTTAACTCATATTTTCTTTTTCCTCCCTTTATATACTCAGAATAAGTTTGATACTTATATCTACAACTATAGTTCTATTTAATTACATCCGGCTTAATTGTCATTTATTTCTTTATATTTATTCGACATCACTTCCATATATATTTATATGTATAAGTTTAATCTATTTAGTTCCATCGAAAAGTAGATTGCCTATTTAAGCGTCCTTGTTTGGAGTTAAACGGAACGGATGTTACTTATTATTTGGGTTTCCGTTTTTCCGTTTTCCGTGTAGGTCACGTGCTTCAAAACTGAAAAAAATTTTTTTTCGTCAAAATTTTTTTTTTCTCTCAAAATTTTTATTTTTTCGTTTTGGTTGTTCTCCTAAGAAAAGAGCAAAAAAAAATAATTGATTAGCTCATCTCATCTCATCTCATCTCGAACTACTTTCCTTTAAAAATACATATACATTATAAAGAGATATTAAACAACCATTAGTTTCTCTCTCTTGAGTATCTTCTGTAAGGACAAAGTCAGTCGAAAGGTCAGAAATTTGCGAAGATCTCACTTATAAAAAACACATACACACAATGGGTAACTTAATAAAAGTTCCTGCTGGTGCAAGAACAGCTGACTTTCGTACTCTCGAAAGAGAAAACAGATTTATCAATCCTCCAAAGGATAAATCTGCATACCCAATGCTAGCAGAAGCCGTCGAACCACATGTCGGTTCCTTTAATGCATTGACTGAAGGTCCAGGTGGTGGTCTATTGAATCTTGGTGTTAAGGACATTGGTGAAAAAATTATTTTTGATGGTAAACCAGAAAGCTCAGATCCTGATCATATCAATGACAAATATTTAGGTAATAAACTTTCTGTGAGTGTCGAACAAGTTTCAATTACAAAACCAATGTCTAATGATGGTGTCTCAGCTGCTGTAGAAAGAAAAGTTTTCCCAACTGAAGCTAGACAAAGATTATCTTCTTATAAAGGTAAATTATTATTAAAATTGAAATGGTCTGTAAATGATGGTGAGGAAACTTTTACTGAAGTGAGAGATTGTGGTGGTTTACCAGTCATGTTACAAACTAATAGATGTCATTTAAACAATTTATCACCTTACGATTTAGTTAAATATAAGGAAGAATCTGATGAAATGGGTGGCTATTTCATTGTTAACGGTATTGAAAAATTGATTAGAATGTTAATTGTTCAACGTAGAAATCATCCAATGGCTATCATTAGACCAAGTTTCACTAATAGAGGTACTTCTTATACTCAATATGGTATTCAAATGAGATCTGTTAGACCAGATCAAACATCTCAAACTAATGTTTTACATTATTTAAACGACGGTCAAGTTACTTTCAGATTCTCTTGGAGAAAAAATGAATACTTAATTCCGGTGGTTATGATCTTAAAGGCCCTATGTGATACTAGTGATAGAGAAATTTTCGATGGAATCGTTGGTTCTGACGTCACCAATTCTTTCTTAACCGATCGTTTAGAATTGCTATTACGTGGGTTCAAGAAACAATACCCAACTTTACATAACAGAACTCAAGTCCTACAATACTTAGGTGATAAGTTCCGTTTTGTCTTCCAAGCATCCCCAGATAAATCTGATTACGAAGTCGGTCAAGAAGTATTGAACCGTATTGTTCTTGTTCATTTAGGACAAGATAAAAATGAAGATAAATCCAAGATGTTATTGTTCATGATCAGAAAATTATATTCTTTGGTCGCTGGTGAATGTTCTCCTGATAATCCAGATGCTACTCAACATCAAGAAGTCTTATTAGGTGGTTTCTTATATGGTATGATCATCAAAGAAAAAATTGATGAATATTTACAAGGTATTCAACAACAAATCAGAACTGATATTAATCGTGGTATGGCCATTAACTTCAAGGATCGTAAATACATGTCTAGGGTATTGATGAGAATTAATGAAAATATTGGTTCTAAACTACAATATTTCCTATCAACTGGTAATTTAGTTTCTCAATCCGGTCTGGATTTACAACAAGTCTCCGGTTACACTGTTGTCGCTGAAAAAATTAACTTTTACCGTTTCATCTCTCATTTTAGAATGGTGCATAGAGGTTCCTTTTTCGCTCAGCTGAAAACTACTACTGTTAGAAAGTTGTTACCAGAGTCTTGGGGTTTCTTATGTCCTGTCCATACACCTGATGGTTCTCCATGTGGTCTTCTAAACCATTTTGCTCACAAGTGTCGTATTTCAACAAAACAAACAGATTTAAGTGCAGTCCCAGCTTTACTATATTCATTAGGTGTTTCTCCAGCTTCTCATACTTTTGCAGCTGGTCCATCTTTATGTTGCGTTCAAATCGATGGTAAGATCATCGGTTGGGTATCTCACGAACAAGGTAAAATTATTGCAGACACTTTAAGATATCTAAAGGTTGAAGGTAAGACTCAAGGTTTACCTCTAGATATGGAAATTGGTTATGTACCACCTTCCACCAAGGGTCAATACCCTGGTTTATACTTATTTGGTGGTCACTCTAGAATGATGCGTCCTGTTCGTTACTTACCATTAGATAAAGAAGATATTGTCGGTCCATTCGAGCAAGTCTACATGGATATCGCTGTTACCCCACAAGAAATCGAAAATGACGTACATTCTCATGTAGAATTCAGTCCAACAAATATTCTATCTATCTTGGCTAATTTGACTCCATATTCTGATTTCAACCAATCACCAAGAAATATGTACCAATGTCAAATGGGTAAGCAAACTATGGGTACTCCAGGTGTGGCTTTAGTTAACCGTTCTGATAATAAGTTATATAGATTGCAAGGTGGTCAAACTCCAATCGTCAAGGCAAACCTGTACGATGATTACGGTATGGATAATTTCCCTAACGGTACCAATGCTGTTGTTGCAGTTATTTCTTATACCGGTTATGATATGGATGATGCGATGATTATCAACAAATCTGCAGATGAAAGAGGTTTTGCTTATGGTTCTATGTATAAAGTTGAAAAAATTGATTTGTCAATGAACCGTAACCGTGGTGACCCAATTTCACAACATTTCGGTTTCGGTGATGATGAATGGCCAAAGGAATGGTTAGATAAGTTAGATGATGATGGGTTACCACACATTGGTACTTATTTAGAAGAAGGTGATCCAATCTGTGCTTATTTCGATGATACTTTGAATAAGACTAAGATTAAGACTTACCACTCATCTGAACCTGGTTATATTGAAGAAGTCAATTTGATTGGTGATGAATCCAATAAATTCCAAGAATTGCAAACTATTAGTATTAAATATAGAATAAGAAGAACCCCACAAATTGGTGATAAATTCTCGTCTAGACATGGTCAAAAGGGTGTTTGTTCACGTAAATGGCCAACTATTGATATGCCATTCAGTGAAAGTGGTATGCAACCAGATGTTATTATTAACCCTCATGCTTTCCCATCACGTATGACTATCGGTATGTTCGTCGAATCTCTAGCAGGTAAGGCTGGTGCTCTTCACGGTATTGCTCAAGATGCTACTCCATGGATGTTCAATGAAGAAGATACACCAGCTGATTACTTTGGTGAACAACTGAAACAAGCCGGTTATAACTATCACGGTAACGAACCAATGTATTCTGGTGCTACTGGTGAAGAATTAAGAGTTGATATTTACATTGGTGTTGTCTATTATCAAAGATTACGTCATATGGTTAACGATAAGTTCCAAGTACGTTCAACAGGTCCAGTTAATAGTTTAACTATGCAACCAGTGAAGGGTAGAAAGAGACACGGTGGTATCCGTGTAGGTGAAATGGAAAGGGATGCCTTGATTGGTCACGGTACTTCATTCTTATTGCAAGATCGTTTATTAAACTCTTCTGATTACACTCAATCCGCTGTATGTCGTGAGTGTGGTTCTATTTTGACTACTCAACAAAGTGTTCCAAGAATAGGTACGATGTCTACTGTTTGTTGTCGTCGTTGTGCTGTTACATTCGATGATGCCAAGAAAATGCTTGCTAAACATGACGGTGAAGAATCTATATTTATCGATGATTCACAAATATGGGAAGATGGCCATGGTAACAAATTCGTCGGTGGTAATGATACTACAACTGTTGGTATACCATTCGTCTTGAAATACCTAGATTCGGAGCTTACAGCTATGGGTATCAGATTGCGTTACAACGTGGATCCAAAGTAATCGAGTCTAAATATACATCCATCCACCTCCCATATTTTCTACTTCCCAACGCGCATATAGACATATATATATTTATTATATATTACATAAACTATCTTTTCCCGATAGTATAAATTGTACACTACTTACAATAATAATAGAAAAAGAGCAATTAATAACAATTATAAGCACTTTCTCTTTCTAATTGATTAACCGAAATTGAATCATACTACCTCGAGTGCCATTGCTGATATAGGTAACGAGAAAATGGTTTAAACATGTACATATATATATATAGAAACGCGACTTTTAGCTGTCAAGTCGCGCGAATATCTATTTTTTCCTGTCTTGGTAACTATAACTGTCAACGTGGAAAGAAAAGCAAAAAAAAAGTGAAAAATAAATTTATGCTTTTTTTTTTATGTAATCTATGTAATATATCTAAAACGGGTCTATTTTTTTTTGGGATCTGGCGTTAGGGACTATATTCTAATTCTTTTCATTACTTATTGAAAGAATTAAACACACTTGTTTGAGTTATTAACGAATTAGCCGTTGCTTGTGCAGTTTCGCTAGATAATTCGTTTTTTTTACTACTATTGCTAATTATTTTGAATCTCTGTGGTTCTGTAAATCAATTCCACAAAGAACTTTTGATTATAAACGAGAATTAGACTGTTCAATATAGTTATAACATAATTGTGGTTACCAGAAATAGTATTGCAAGTTTAAATAATTGTTTATTTTGCTGACGGCACATCCATATTCCTTAGATTTGAACACAGTAGTATTATCACGAAAATATGAGTGCGAATCCATTCGAAGGATATTTAAACGACAATGAGAAGCAAGTTGACGACAACTTGAATAGCGATGAATCGTTACTGTTATCCACCAAGGAATTACTGTCAAAGGCTACTCCTTCTCTAGAATTCTGCAAGATCTCTGTCGAAGAGACTGTTGATAGGTTAAACACTAATAGCAAAACTGGTCTTGCATCTACTGAAGAAGCAAACCATAGAAGAAAAGAATACGGTCCTAATGAGATCTCTGTTGAAGATGATGAATCTTTGTGGAAGAAGTTTTTATCAAACTTTGTTGAGGATCGTCTGATCTTACTTTTGATCGGGTCTGCTTTTGTTTCAGCTATTATGGGTAATTTAGATGATGCGATTAGTATCACTTTGGCTATTATAATTGTTGTCTCTGTTGGGTTTGTTCAAGAATATAGATCTGAGAAATCGTTAGAGGCACTTAATAAATTAGTTCCTGCAGAATGTCATTTGGTTAGAGGAGGTCAAGAAGCTCATGTATTGGCAGCAGTTCTTGTCCCTGGGGATTTAGTATGTTTTAGAATAGGTGATAGAATACCGGCAGATTTGAGAATTACTGAAGCCTTCGATTTATCTATCGACGAAAGTAACTTAACTGGTGAAAATGAACCTGTACATAAAGTAACAAGTGCAATTAATAAAGAGACATTCAATTATGATACAAGTGGAATTATTCCATTATCTGATAGAACCAATATTGCATATATGGGTACTCTAGTAAAAGAAGGCCATGGTAAAGGTATTGTTGTTGGTACTAGTACTAACACTTCATTCGGTGCAGTGTTTGAAATGATGAGTAGCATTGAAAAACCAAAGACTCCTCTACAACTAGCTATGGATAAACTTGGGAAAGATCTATCTCTTTTCAGTTTCATTGTAATCGGTTTCATTTGTTTAATTGGTATTATCCAAGGTAGATCATGGTTAGAAATGTTCCAAATCTCTGTTTCCTTGGCTGTTGCAGCTATCCCTGAAGGTCTTCCTATTATTGTCACTGTGACTTTAGCTTTAGGTGTTTTAAGGATGGCAAAGAGAAAGGCTATTGTTAGAAGATTACCTAGTGTGGAAACCTTGGGTTCTGTCAACGTTATTTGTTCAGATAAGACCGGTACATTGACTTCGAATCATATGACTGTTTGTAAGATCTGGTGTCTAGGTAGCATGACTAATAAATTGAACGTACTGGATTTACAAAAGACAAAAGGTACTAATTTCAAGAATTATCTAACTGATGACGTTAGAGCTACTTTGAATGTCTCCAACATTTGTAATAATGCCTCATTTTCTGTTGAACATTCAAAATATCTTGGGAATCCTACAGATGTTGCGCTATTGGAACAACTTTCCAAATTTGAACTTGAAGACAACAGACCAAATGTCAAGAAGATCCACGAGATTCCATTTAATTCTAAAAGAAAGTTCATGGCTACAGAGGTATTCGAACAAGATGGAAGTCATGTATTATATGTCAAGGGTGCGTTTGAGAAAATTCTTTCTTATTCTAATACATTTTTAAACGAAAAGGGTAAAATTGAAAAACTAACTGATGCTCAAAAGGTTAGTATCACAGAGTGTGCTGAATCATTAGCCTCCGAAGGTTTACGTACTTTGGCTTTTGCTAAGCTACAAATGAAAGGTACAGAACCAGTTACAAAATTGACTGAAGATATGGTTACAGATTTAACCTTTACGGGTTTAATTGGTATGAGTGACCCTCCACGTCCAACTGTGAAACCTGCTATTGAACAATTAATCCGTGGTGGTGTTCATATTATTATGATCACAGGTGACTCTGAAAGTACCGCTGTAAATATCGCTAGACAAATTGGTATTCCGGTTATTGATCCGAAGTTATCTGTTTTAAATGGTGATAAATTAAATGAAATGTCTGATGACCAACTGGCCAATGTCATTGATCACGTTTCTGTTTTTGCCCGTGCTACTCCTGAACATAAATTGAACATTGTTAGAGCCCTCAGACAAAGAGGTGAGGTCGTGGCCATGACTGGTGACGGTGTTAATGATGCTCCTGCTTTAAAACTTGCTGATATTGGTGTTTCAATGGGTAAAATGGGTACAGATGTTGCCAAAGAGGCTTCAGATATGGTCTTAACTGATGATGATTTTAGTACTATTTTAACCGCAATTGAAGAAGGTAAGGGTATTTTCAACAATATCCAAAACTTCTTGACCTTTCAATTATCTACTTCCATCGCTGCTCTATCTCTGGTCGCATTATCTACTCTTTTCAAATTACCAAATCCATTAAACGCTATGCAAATCTTATGGATTAATATTTTAATGGATGGTCCTCCAGCACAATCATTGGGTGTTGAACCTGTGGACCATGAAGTTATGAAAAAACCTCCAAGAAGAAGAACTGACAAGATTTTGACCAAACAAGTCTTGAGAAGATTAGTAGGTACCGCAGTTTGTATTATTGTAGGAACAATATATGTGTTTGTCAAAGAAATGGCAGAAGATGGTAAAATTACACCTAGAGACACAACGATGACATTCACATGTTTCGTTTTCTTTGATATGTTTAATGCATTGGCATGTAGACACTCTACAAAGTCCATTTTCGAAGTTGGATTTTTAACAAACAAGATGTTCAATGCAGCTGTAGGTTTATCCCTTCTAGGTCAAATGTGTGCTATATATATACCGTTCTTCCAGAATGTATTCAAAACTGAAAGGTTAAGTCTGGGAGATTTGTTTTTCTTACTAATTGTTAGTAGCAGTGTATTTATTATCGATGAAATAAGAAAGTACTGGGACAAAAAGAAAGCCCAAAACGATCCTTCTTATTACTCGATGGTATAAACGAGGATCTGTTTGTGAATAATCTACAAATTATTGTTGGACTTTTTCATTGATAAATTAATAACCACACATACTCTTCATATATATAAGTCATATTTTTATACTAATAGAATATTTTACGTACAACAATAAAATAATATTTACATAAGATAACCGGTAGATGCTCAAAACGATCACAAGGGAAAGATATATTGGGTCATTATCAATTAGAATACTGTAGAAGAGTTATTTAATTTATATTATATATTCCGCTTCTTGGTAGTCGAAAAGAGTTAGATCTGTTATAAAAGTTTTCTTGGGGCATCTTCGCATCACATTGGCAAATGTTGTTATATCTTTCCTAGTTAGACCACTAGAAAATGTACAGTCACCCGTAAATTCTGCATTGACATCTATATCAACTCTGTTCCTAATTTTGCAACAGCATGTGCAAGGTTCTAATAAGATAATTTTATCTATTTGTTTAATGATATAAGATGAACTTTCTTCGATGAGGTCCATAACCTCTCCTGATATGCCAACCTTTTTAGATATCATCGTAATCATATATTCTTGCTCTTCTTCATTTAAAATGTAAAATAACTTATCGTTCACAGCTTTAATAATGCTCTTATCTTGATATAAAACTGTTATTTCTGCATCACATCTTGTCTTTTTGGCTCTACAGTGGTTACAGCTAGGTCCTGATCTTTGTTTTCTTTTAGATGGCATAGAGTACAATGTATTATTGTAAGAAAGTTTTCTCTTCTTCTTTGAAACAGTTTTTGCCAATGCAGCTTCATTGAGCTTCATTGTGTCAATAGGCGGCAAAAGGTGTATAATATCTGTGTTTGACATAATAGATACTCTAGGAATATCCGAGCTATCATTAAATGGATCATATTTGGTCTGCGGCAGGTATGAGTTGTCCCTACCTGGGATTAGAAGTGGATGCATTGGCTTGTGGGCGTTTTTCACTACGTAATTAATAGCAGTCATCTTCAAATATGTCAGAATGGGGTAGAAAGATTTTGTCCTGGATAAATTCTAGAACTTTCTGTCGTTTTTAGTTTGGTTATTATAAGAACCAAAAGGATTATAATGAATGGAACGTGAACTAAAACAAGAACAGAAGTTAGTCTTGAAACAGAACGCTTATTTATATATCGTTAAGAATCCTTTCAAGTTTAATTAATTCAGACTCATCTTTGGATCGGTTCACAAGAACCTGCCCCCCCCTACACCCCTAGAATTCTTTAAAAAGAGGAGACTAAACCAATTTTTCGAAGTATTGTTTTACTTCAATACTTTCAATCTCCTGGACAGTGAATAAGCAAGTTAATCTCTATTATGTTATTCTGCCTTCATACATGATGACGGTTCAGAAACTTGAAAATCAAAGATTCAAACCAGAGGTGAGCTTCTCTAAGTTGGTGTTCTCCGAGTCCTGAGAGGGTGGAAGGATAACATAATAGCAGGCTTGAGAGCAAGTTAATTTCTTTTTAGTGAATTTACCGGAAAACAAAAGTTAAAAGACAATGAATCAGAAGTATTCCAAATGGTGAAAAACAAGAACAATAGGATGTATCGGCGATCATTGGGCCGAAATAGAGTACACCCTGAGTGGACGTACATAGCAACTTTAACATTGATACATTCTTGGCAACAGAATCAAATAAGTTTTATTTTCAACCCCTCCCATGTGTAGCTTATTGTTTGCCTATTGTTTGACAGATCAATTTCTTTTTCATCTTTCTTTAAATTGTTCTAACCCGCTCGCCGAAAAAAGTTTCATACAAAATTATTTCCCTTTGTTTGCTTATTCGAGATGTGGTCGAAGAAAAAGGATTTACGTAGATGGTGTATAGGCTAACTTATGGGAGCAACCAATAATTGTCATTACGGAACCATTAAAAGAATATCAAATAGAAGAGGGGTTTCAGGTTTTCGATCACAAATAATGGATATATTGTAGTCTCATTAGTAAAGAAACAAAAAAAAATTTCAAAAGAAATTTTATGATGTAGCTTAAGTAACATTATGAAAATCCGATTTATGGGTTAGCGGACATATACCTATGGTTGAAAGGGCGTTCGATGACGTCTCAGTCGGAAAACTTCTTTTCAATGACGATTTTATATATGTATATATGTATACTTGTGAATTATCATGAAATATGAGTCATTTATTATTAAAAATTAAACTGTAACTGACATCCCCTCAATGGGAACCAGCGTAAAGAAAGAATATTCTAAAATCGTGTAGAAGTTATACAGGTATCAAAAATAAATAAGAATGAAAATAATAATAAAAGCTGTGACATAGCAACACCATCTAATATCAGTCATTCTGTTATAACCATTGACAAATCCTGGTCAATTAGTTTTTTTGTAAACAATGGAAAGAAGGAAAGAAAGTGTTAGTTTTTAAAAAAAAATTCATATCTTTATTCCTTTCTTCATTTAGAGAGTTGATAAAAAATTATCCAAATCTGCAAATCCTTGTTCAGAAAGTAATTGACTAGGTGGCGAGCTTAATTGTAAAGTATTTACTGGTGATGCTTCAGAAGAATATAAATTGTTCATATCTACGTCATTTGGATTAACATTGTCAATATTATCAGTTGCATTACCGTTGATGTTATTAATATTACAGTTGATTTGATTATTATTGTTGTTGCTCTGATTAAACATGTCATTATTGTTGTTGTTATTATTGTTGTTATCATCTATTATCATACTGTTCATTATTGGAAATCTGTTTATGTTTGTGTTCGAGTTTGCATCAAAACCATCATAGATCGCACTAGCATCACCAACTACTGGGTTACTTGCGCTATCTACAAGATTCTTGATGTATCTGTGATTTCTATCCATGCTTGATGATCTTGGTTTGTTTTGCGTTGATAATGATGCAACACTATTGTTTCCATCCCGATTTGGACGGGTCTTTCTCTTTGCATTCATATAATTACCAGGGATGTCCATAAAGCTAGGTGTTATAGATAATACTTCAACACTACGTACACTATCATTATCACCTGCAGTTCTTTGACTTCTTGTACGTTCATTCGGATAAAAGGATTCGGTATAAAGTTTCCCCTTTTCATTATGGTTACCACTGTGTTTATCCTGTAAGAGAATATTGGCCTTTGATAATGTCGATATAGATGAAGAATCGAGGAACATATCTAACAACCCATTACTTGCCTGATGCTGTCTATCAGGTAATGCTTTACCATATTGATGGATACTATAATCATCAGCATCATTACTTGTAACAGAAGGAACAATACTACTCTTTCTTGAATCAGGTTGTGATACATATTCTTTAAAGGATGCGCTTTCACCTCCATTTAAGGACCAATCATTAGCATAAGAATTACAATCTGTAACTCTTCCAACACCATTAAGATCAGGAGGGACAAATTCCTCGAGTGGGACAATTACAGCTCCTGGATTTGGTTTTAATGGCGGTGATGCCAATGCTGATTTATTTGCATTTGAAACTGGTGGGGACCCAATATGAAACGATGATTGATAACTTTTCGCCATATTTATATGACTATTATTAGAGGATGATGCTAACATATTCAAATTAATCTGACTAGAAGATCTATTACTATTATTGTTGCTATGACTTTTTCCATTTGAATTATCCCAATTTCTTGATACATTATGTAAACTACTAGCATTATTATTATGGTTATTATTGTTGTTAGTGAATCCGCCACTAATGAAATTAAATTGCATTGCACCAAGTGGTGGGCTTTGCGGGGTAGAAATATTTTGATCTAAAGAATTTGATGATTGTAATGAAGATATTGATGCTAAAGATGGAACATGATGATAATCTTTAGTAATTTTTCCTGTTAAAATATCAGAGTCTATAAAACTTGTTGAAAGATGGTTTGATGAATCTGAGAGTATACTACTTGCAGACAAAAGATTACTATCTAATGATGTAGATGAATTAACTCTTGGAAATATTCCTGCTCTCGGTTTATTATGTGTATGATGATTAGTTGATGATGTTGTAGATCCATTATTATTAGTCTTTCTCTTTGTTGAAGTTGATCTTTTATTTTTTTTTGAATGTACAGGACACTTTTGCATAATATTTTCTTTGGATAGTAATTCGTTATTATTATTACTATCAATAATAGTATTAATTTTATTATTACAAGTACAATTTTTACTAGCAAATTCCTTTGCTTTAGCTCTTGCTTCTTCTTTAGCCTTTTGAGCTAATCGTTTCTTTTCTTGTCTACCACATGTACATGTACCAGGTGGTTTAATACCTTTACTTTTTCTTAATTCTTTACAATATGAACATGTTGTTGAAGGTCTACCTTTTGGTTTTATCATCATTAATGGTTGATCTGTATGGTTACATGTTGTAACTCTATGACCTCTAATACAACGTTCACACGCATATTTAATGCCATTTATTAATACCATTTGTTATTATTTATTTTATAATCTTTTTAAAATTAAATCTATAATTATACTGTTATTATTATTACTATTCAAAGAATTCAATATAACAACAATATATATTAGAAAAGAAGGTAAATGAATAAATTTTGTTTGTTTTCTAATTATCAAATTATTTCTCTTAATGGAACTAAATCTATACCAAATGTAGAGTATATATACTCTTATACTTTTTTTAATTCAAAAATAGTCGATAGTAGTAAAAACAGATTATTAAATTTTTAATCACCTTGCAAGAGGAAAAAGAAAATTATTAATCTATAACATGATGCATGCCCGTTTTGGAATTATAATTTGATGAAGATGATTATATAATATTAATTAAGAAAAATACTAAGTTAATTACTTAATGGTCAAAGAGAGACAGAGAGCAAGCGAGAAATAAATTGAATTTGTTTTGTTTTTTACTAAAAAAACACTCATCAACAGAGACGCATTTTAAGTTGAGCGAGACCCCAGTGAACAGTATGTGTAATCATAATAATAATAATAATAAGATTCTTTTAATTCAAAATTTTAAAAAATTTTGAGTCCTCTCTGCGTATTATTAATGTTAAAAATTTCTGTCACAATTACTTATGCCAGCATTGAAATTTATACACTATAACGCACGTAGAGATTTCAAGAAATTAATTTGTGAAAAAATATAGTACATAGTAGTATATTTTATAGAGCTGTTTCCTTCCCAGAATACAGCGGAGGGGAGTAGAGAAATTTCTTTTTTTTTCATTTACGCTCGCGCAGTTACAGAGAGACAAACTTATTCTTCATACTCGCTATACGGTTGTTATTAAATATATGCATATTATTACATTTTAAACATGTCTCCAGTTCTTTTTTGCCCATAAATTGATTAGAGAAAAACGGCGGAGACATAGCATTTTGTACGGAGTGTACGAGTAAAAATGAGTGTACCTTAGTGTGTGTGCATGTGTGTTTTAAAAATTAAAGATCACAGATTTATTTTTAATTTTTCGTACAGTGCATTCTCAGTACATTTGAAAGAGGGGAAGCTAAAGATTACGCTTATAATCCGTCTATCCGTTAGCCGGATAAAAAATGGTTAACGGACATATTTTTCTCTTAGCACCTTCTATACTTTCTTCTTTTAAAATTAATAAGATAGTCGAAAAAAAACGAAAAACTGTCCCGTTGTGGGTTAATTTAATAGCCCAAAAAGAAAAAAATTTGTGTCAAAATTCTCTTAATAGTAATAATTCTTTTTTTTTTGGATAAAGAATTAAAGAGCGATTCGGAAGGCTGAGATATAATAAGGACTAATAAATAATTAAATAGTAAATTTCTACAGATTAATATTGATATGCATATGTGTATAAGGCGTATCTGTTTGTAATACGAACAGAAACTAATCGCTATCGTCCTTCCCCTTTTTTAAATTAAGGTTACTAGAAGAATGTGATGAACCTCTTTCTTTACTAATTGATGTTCTACACATCTTTTATTTTTTGATTTCTAAAAAGGTGCAGAACAGTAAAGAAAAAGAGAAATAAAGAGAGAATGGAGGGAATCGGCGAAAAAAAAACACTCAATTTAGTAACCTTAATCAAGTGAGGGGAAAACCAGATGATGTCATCAACCATAAAATGAAAAATAATTTACTAACCGCTAATAGATTTCTCCAAGTATGTTTAAATGGAGAGAGAAGGCTAAATTTGTCCGTAATCTCCACCCTTCTGCAGCTTTCTTCTATTTACAGTTGTAAGATCAATTGAGTGATATTCTTCTAAAATATATAATATGATTTGCGTTATAATCTAATAGTCATAATTAAATTAAACCATAAATTAGTAATACCTTGATTATTAATAAAAGACTTGTTTCAAACCTTCAGCCGGCCTTTCCATTTTCGTATGCATTCCCTACCGGAATATTTTCCTTTTTAAAATCTTGCATAACAAAAGAATAAAATAGATTTACAGAAATAGAATGGTGTGATGCATCTAATTGTCTCGTTTTGGGTAAAGATATATTAAAGATTATGGGGATATAGGGGGTATATTTCTTCCAGAAATATTAAATTTGAATGTCTCTTTACAATTATTAATATTTGTAAAAAAAAAAAGGTAACAGTTTTGGATATTGGTGGTTCTAGAAGTTGTCCGTTACTGATGATCTGTATATCAATTGCTCTAAAACTTCTCTTCGTTTATGCCGATAAAATCTCTTGTATTTTGTAGCAAAGCAATGTGAGTAAACCGTAGTAGTCGTAAAATATGTTTGTTTGTTTGTTTTTCAAATTCTATTAATAGTGAATTGATTTCTCTGCTTGTTTAAGTTGTTCATATTGCTTTGATACTTTTGAAACTAGATTGTCCGGGGATATGATGATAAGAACCATCTCAACTTGTTTCATACTTCTTTAATTTTTCTCGTTCACTGGAGAACCAAAAAAAACAAAGAAGAAGAAGAAGAAGAAGAAGAAGAAGAAGAAAATAAAGTTTGCTTATTCCATTTTGGGATTGAATTGTTGACTGCGTTTCGAAGTGACCGAAAGGTTTCTTTAAATCTATTCTCATTACCTTATTGTTATCGTTATAAAACAATTAGATATATGAAATAGTGTTAAGATAATTGTGTTTCAGTCGGTCGAAATCTTTTTAAATAAAAAGAAGGCTAACCGACGAAAATGTCCCAAGAGATTCCAAGAAAGCTGGAAAAGTAGAGGATGATATGGAAGTCGGAATGTGAGTAGGATCCACACCGCTGGTCAGATGTTCAATAGTTGGAAAAAGAAAGTACGGTATCGATATTTAAATTCGAAGAACGTTCAGCTCGTGGCCTATTACCGTAAAATTCTGTTTGAGCAAGCAATGGTATGAGGAAACCGAATAGTCTCATTAGATTCTGAAATAGATTGTAACGCCGCTGCTGCTAGCGTTGATTTATTCACCAGAAAATGTGTAGTGAGCTCATTCCTGTTCTGAGGATCCAGTTCAGGTTGGGAATCAAGACCAAAACGGCTTAAATAACCTGGCAAAAATATTATTTTTCCCAGGTAAATAACGTTAGTGAAGGGGTTGAACTTTTAAGAGGTCTGAGAACATTGCAAAACGTGAGTGAGGGCCCCAGTCAGTGTTTCTGTAGAGAATCTGAGGTGTAGTTTTCTTTCTCCTTTGAATCAGCAATTTCTAACCTGTTATTTAATGTTGAATCGGACATATTTCAATACAATACTTGATCAATTATTTTAAATTTATTAATCTAAAAATCAAATTACCTTAAGTATTCATTATTTTACAATGATGTCTTTATATATACCATCGACTTCGTTGAATAATTCGCCCGCTTATATTGCTGGTTTGTGTTTTTCATTTTATATTGTGTGTTGGATCTTTCACTTGATCCAATTTTTGATCTGAGAGAATTCCTTGTTCATTAAGGTGTAGATCTTAGCCACTTCTGGGAGTCGTGGATATTTTTCTTTGTCCAAAAGAAGCTAAAAGGAAGTAAACAACTTAGACATATGGGGAAGAAAATTTCTTAAATAATTGATGAATCAAACAAATTTGGTTATATTCTCATTAGTAGTAGGAACATTCCAATTCTCAATGGCATGTATCTTCCTGGATTTAAGAGGGATACCACTATAGGAAATAACATAACCAAGGAATAAAATATGATCGCAGGAAAGTTTAAGTTTCTCTTCGCTGCTAGAAAGTCCGTTAGCGTCAAGTAACTTCAACAGTCGGAGGAAAGCTGTCTAATGTTCGGGTCCAGTTGTGGAAGCTACTATAATGTTATTATAATAATAAGGAACCGCAAAAGTGGGAGATGGATGGAAGAAAAATTGTAGAGAAGAAGGTATTAGGAAATGATTGGCGAAGTTCCTCTAGCAAATGAACGCCAGAATGGCAAATACCGAGTAGGTAGTGGAGAGAACAGGAAAAACATTAAGAGTTTTACACTGTGGCCTCACGGTAATATCATTCTTATGTATTGTAGTTCCTGATAGTATCTTATTTATACTTTCATATTATTCGAATTTTTTCTTTTCTGTATTGATTTGGAATATGTCAAATACAATTATCATGTCCAACGACGTACAGACGCATATCGATCAATTGTATACAAATAAGATATGACATATTGTATACTATATATAAGAAGAAGAACGGTAATCAATCTAATATTATAATTGGCCTATCGTATACTTTACATACAAATATTGATAGAACTCCTCGTTTCTATCTTGTTGAGCATTGATTATATTTTTATTTCCATTCATATTTTATTATACAGATAATTCTTCATATATTTCGGAAAGAATTATTTAATATACAGATTACGCATTTCAAACTTCTGTCTTTATATGTTACGAATTTAGTTGCTTAGTTGTTAACCTTCACATTCATGAACTTCCTATTCATGTATCGCCGTATAAACCTATTCAATTATAATCGTTGCGCACAACATTCTATGTGTTATTTAATTAATGTTAATATTAGTGTTCCTAATCATTAATTATTATGCTCATGCTAAAATCTTATACTATACACTCTTAGAATATTCAGCTCAGTAAATATTAAAACCGGACAAAGCAGCACATTTCTAAGACGTACCCAATATTAAACAAATTTTTTTCTCTGAAACTGTAAAAATAATAAAATGTATAAATTTAAGTTTTTGTTTTATATTCTAAATTTTAATTTCCATAAACTTCACGATAATAATTCAGTAATAGTTAACACTGTGGTGTTCGTTAGATATTCCCGCCCCCCATTGATCCTCTCTTCGAGAAAAATAGGAACAAAAGAACCTTATATAATGCAAGTAAGTACGGGGTGGGGTTGGAGGTTCTTTGCCCATAATTTTTTGGGAGTTTGAGGGGGAGTTGTTTCAGAGAAAACCCCACCCCAACAGGACTTCAGGTCACGTGATATCTTGGGCTTGAATTATTCAATTTAATATTTCTATAACAAGCAACACTTACACATAGTTTAATTCAAAAAAGAAAGCATGCCAATATACATATAACTGTAGTCTGAAGTTTTATTGTTAATATCTTTCGTCCTCGTTTACTTTTTTGAGGCTTCTCATGCCATCAAGTTCTTCAAACAATCTTCAATTTTTTTCCAGATATGAATTCGTCTTCGAATTTTCTCATTACCGAGGCAACCAGTGCTTCATTCTCGATAGTTTTATCTTTTAAACGGTGTCTTTTGTCACCATAAACTGCCTTCAACTTAGAAAAGGTTCGTTCAGTATTGACTGAAGTGACTTGAAGTGACAAAAGGTATTCGATTAAACATGGCAAATACACATCACTCCTTTTTTCTTTCACAACAATCATGGATATATTTCCGATAAACGCCCATCCAAATTGTATCTTCAATTATGAGATTTTCAATATTTGATAAGGTTGTCAGAATTCTTCTGCATATCTCTTCATCAACTAGAGAATCATCGTAAATGGGGAAACCATCAGCCTTCTTAGAAACCTTGAGATAGGTTCTTAAATCCTTCCAAAATTCAAGTTGGAAGGTTCTTTCTGCGTTAAACTCGTTTGTCAGAGGTTTTTTGACATCGCCCTCATTCATAATCAAATTGTCGTTATTACCGTCAGGATCACAACTTTGATGAAAATCATCAGCGAATTGAGAATCTTCGACGCTATATCTTCCCAACTGTAGCGTTTTCAGGTTCGCATCATTTAGAACATTTGTTAATTTCAGTATCTTCATAACAATCTTTGTGTAATCATCTTTAGTATATAACAAGCTTCCACTGATTGATTTAAACATGTCTGTAACAACAATACGCCTTGAGATATTTAAAGTATCTGACAAGAAAAGACTTTCATAGCAAGTTACCGCTTGTTTAAGATATTTTTAGGTTTTATTAACGACAAAACTAAAATCCGTTGGCATGTTCATTGTTCTAGCACGTTCTGCGTATTTTTTAACTTAGTTTTCAAGTTCCATGGTAATTAGAACATAGCTCACAGCCAATGGCTTATTTTCTGACACATAATTTGTCAAAGTGTCAAACGGTGCCAACATATCTACTAATAATTCAGCTTGTTGTTTATCAGCATGTATAAGTGGGTGATCTATTACAATATCGTTTTCTTTACAATTCTTAAAAAAACTTCGAATTCCCTAAATTTCAACACACGTTCTAAGGATCTCAGGTTTGATATTCGATCGAACAAAAATGTATTTTGGGATTAGTCTCTTCACAATATCATTGTATGTTTTAAGTTTATCGCCTAAAATACGGACTTCCTTGTTCAGCAAGGTTTGTTCTTTTAGAACGTAAGGGACTCCACCATGAAATAGGTCCTCTACAATATAAGAGATTCTAGTCTTTTAAGATTGAAAGCTGGCAATTTTACACTCTTCTTCAGGGTTATCACCCTCGTTGTCGTTTTCCAATGGCGATATTTCTTCAGAACTACTTGAGCTTAAATTATCAAAGTATTTAATTAATTCTTCCGATATTAGATTAATAATATGGGCCAAACAGCCGATAAGTCCTGAAAAGAGAGGATATTTATCAACATCCAGGTCAGATGTGCTTCTGAGCGTGTTACTAGCGTTGTCTGTACAAGTGCTGACCCATAATTCTTGGATATGATATTCTTCGATTCTTTCTTCTATATCTCTTCTGTGATCTATTTTAGTTTTTCCCCTAAGAACATCGTATCCGATTTAGAAATGATGCTTCTTTTGTTTTGATGACAAAAAGCTACAAATAACAGCAGAATACCATAGACCATTATTGGCCTTCCAGTCATCTGCTTCAATATTTACGTATAGTGGACAACTGAGAAAGAACTTAAGCATGGCCTCATCCATAATTCGGGCAATTCTAGCTGAGGAAATTGAGGCAGGGGCCATTTCAGTAGCTTTATTAGTCTTCCTTTTGATAAGATCTTTTAGAGGATTTCTAAAATTGTTTGTTGTCTCACCAATCACAGCAGCAGCCCTTTTCCTATCAAATGAACTTTTCCAGTGGCCCCACAAAATGTTTAGTGCAAATCGAACTAGTTTGTTATTAAAAAAAGAGTAAGATACCCCTGCTGATACAAAACATTGAATTACAATTCGAACTATATCATTATTACTTCTTGAATTCCTGTTCACTAACGCAGTGATATCAGTTCTAACGGTCTTCCTTTGAATAAGCTGAGCTGCAGGCATTAACTCAAGATTCAGATATTTCTCAAAATTCTCTGTTGTAATATGAGTATTTTTATGAACTTCGTTGACATGTTTTTGGCAATTAGTAGCAGAACGTTTTTGCAAGCTCTCAGTATCTTTAAATGTCAGTTTAGTAGTACATTGAATACCATTTTCAAAATACTGGCATACCTTTACTAGTGTGTCCTTCCGAGCTGCGAACAACAGAGTATAAGGGTTCTGATTCTGGCGAACAAGTCTAACCATTTGCAGTGGTGCGACAATTATCGAATTACTACCTACCGCAGGAGATGGAGACACTTTTTCCTCTTCAGGTTCCTATTTTTAGCATTATCATCATCATCAACATAATCGTTATTGTTGTCGTCGGTTGCAGCTGTGATTTCTTCCTCATCGGATGAAATTAAAATACTTACCTGTTCATCAAGCTGCTCGTTCTCAGTAGTGCATGAGGGTTCGATATATCTGTTGATAAAATACAACTATCGTCGTTCATTTTCTTGTGTTTTCATTTTAGTTGGTTGGCTTATGTGAATAGATAAGTAACTAGAATAACAAGAACCATAATCTTGAACGTTAACATCTACAAACAGTTACATAGCATACATTGTATTAATTGAGAATTCGAGATTCAGCCGTACGATTATAAAATAGATCATTGTGTACGGACATCAACAAATGTCGATGCGAGAGCAACAAATATAAGATGAACTAAAGCTAAAGACGTCTTATGTAACATATACTTGTATAATATACATTGTAACATAGAATAGAAATATACGAAATATAGATAATTAACATAGTACTTACTATTAATACATTTACTTATTAACGAACAGAACGACCACCATATTGTTGTAGTTAATATACATAATAACAATCACTATTAAACATTCTATATAGAGCAATCAATACAATATAAAACAGTGGCTTTATGTGACTATAAAAACTTTTCTTTGTCGTTAATAATGACAGTAGTTTTGGGGGGGGGGAGTTTTGATTTGAAAAAATAAACCACCCCATGCTTAAATGCAAGTCATATATTAATTATCCGACCACTGTGAAAAATTAGGAAATAATGAATTAGTTTGGTAAGGGATCTATTCCTATCAAATATATACAGCTAGTTCCAAAAAAAAAAAATTGATTATCTTTGTTCGTTACACTAATCACATTAAAATTGCTTTTATCTCTTGAATCTATTGTATTGGCGGTAACTGATTTTTCATTCTTAGGGATCATCGTTTTTGGGAAACTAAGCCTGTCACCGCTTTAGAAGTTATCGTTTCCATTTTATTGTCTCTCAAAATAAATTTAAAAGAATCATCAATGTTTGTATGTTACCTTCTGAAATTCTTTACTCAAGAACCGAATTAAAACAATTCTTATTTTATACCTTATTGAACTAGTAATTACTTGAAATTAGCTGAATTTAAATATTTCCTCAAAAGGCATGGTAAACATCAAAATATATTGAATTCAATCCCTATAATTTAACATTTTTTTTCATTGTCTTCTTCTTCCTATTATCATGATGTCATCGATTGTCCTTTTTTACCCCATTAGGGTGGTTTTATTATACCAGTTGTCTAATCATATTACTCAAATTAATTCCCATTTCTTACATAGGTATCCATTATTGAACAATGACCTCCATTACTCAAATGTCACATAATGAAAATTTCTATTCAGATTGTAGCTGACATAAACTGTCCGACACTCCTCTCATCACGCAATCCAATCTACTTATATCTAAAACAAATATCTAAAACAAACAAAGCGCAGTTTGTCTCAGATTTCTAATGAAAAATTACTTAGTTCGGAACGCGTGCACAAATAATAATCTTAAATAAAATATTATTAAAAGAAAAATAAAAAATTAATCATGTGATATTAAATACTTACGGCGCTAACTAATTGAATTTTTTTTTTTTTTTTGGGGTATGCTGTTTCATTTTAAAGTGGGTGGCTTTTCCTTTATTCGATTAATTATATTTCTGTTAAATAACTAATTTATCCTAAAGAATAAGGAATTCTTATATCTTTAATTAAATATTATCCTTATAGAACAATCGGAAGTATTATATTTTAAGAGCATATAGATATGGACCTTCTATTAAAAGAATATTCAAGTAATGGTGTCGCTACAGTTTGGTCATTGGCCACACTGGGTAGTTCCAACGGTACACGTCAAGGCACTTATAATTCAAACAAAGGAATCGTTAAAAAGAAAGAAATTTTGGATGTGTCCATACCAGATACATGTGAAGCTATCAAATTAAATAAAGATGATTTTTCTCTGAGACATATATCTAGTCTTCTATATGGTGTCACTATCTGTTACAATAGAAAGACAGAGTACTTTCTTAACGACATTACAACTATACTTTCACAACTTACGAGAACCGTTTCACAAAATTGGAATATTGTCAACCTTAGGGCACAAAATGACCCAAAAAACTTTACACTGCAGACTCTTGCGGAGTTGATTCCCACAAGACGTAAACAGTTCTTTGGGGCGGCTAATACGTTTCTAAAGGATGATAAAAATTTTGATATCCAAGAAATTCCATCCTTTGAAGATTACATGAACAGTCTTTTAACTTCTGTAACTAGCAATAATAATTTTGAATCAGCTCTAATTAGAAGAAAGGATTACATATCAGAATTAAATAATTCAAATTACCCAGGTCGTGGCGTATTTCAAGATGATATTCAATTAAATAGATGGGATTTTAATCCAACTTTAGAAGAAATGCCAATAGAGATGGATTTTGAACTCGACATTAACGATGTAGTTAGTCAAGGAGGATCTTCCGTTATCACAAGTAATGTTGGGCATTCGGAAATTAGAAATTTGGACTTCGAATCTGAAAACAATAAAATTACCTCAAGTTTTTTACCTTTAAAGTTATCAGAATCACAACGAAATGATCATTTTCAACCTTCAAGTATTGACCTTGAGTTAGAACAAGAACACAGTGACGCTGATGCAACAAAAATTCCGGTTGAGACGTTGGATAATCAAGAAATACCGTATCAAGTACCTTCTAAGAAACAAAAAATTTCGAATGGTAAAAGTAAAAATTTCACGACTTCAATCCTGATCGATTCACGTACTGGTCTCCCAACTAATGTATTAAGAAATGCCCATGATAATTATGTGATATTAATGCAACAAAAACATGCAATAGGGAGAAACGGTGGAAATAAAAGAAAGATGTTACAATGGGAAACACTTCTATTTTCTAAGGAAAATATACCTCTAGTAGAGGCCTCCTGGAGACGATTGTTTTCTGCTGATCTTTTTCCAGAAGAAAGTGGGAATCCCGCATTAATCGAGAATGGTAGAAGAGATGCCACGACATCTTCCTTAAATCATAGTAATAGTGGCAGCATTAGAAGTACTGAAGTTGGTAGGCGGCAGGGAAATTTAGACTTCCTTACAAATCATTTCCAAAATGTCAATGAAGATAGCTTGTTATTAAATTTAGATCAGATAAATGAAGATCTTTTGGAGGATCATTTAGGTGACTCTTCTATTGTACAAAGTGTTCCGCAAAGTAAAAATTCGGAGGACTACGTAAATATGAATATGCATTTACTCCCATCAAGTGTAGGTCGTAATCTTAGTCGTTACTCAACAAGTAACAATTTTAACAGTGATGGACCAGATATTGTTGATATTTTGAATAAGCCAAGAGACTCTGAAAGTTCAGTACTTGTAGGTATATCAGAGACGAGTACAACAAATGATACAGAGGGCTTCACAAATAGTGAAAAGAGCATAGCTTATCACAAAAGAGATATAATATTAAGTGCTCAAGCAAGAAAATTTTATTCGTTTATTAAAGAAAGAGCACTATTTCAGGGTGTTTCCTCGAACCTTAACCCACACTTCAAGAAACAGATATCATTTGAAATACTGGTTCCAAGTAATGTATCAATGGCAAATGAACCTACTTATAAAGTAGTGTCAAAAGGTGTCGTTGCTGGAGCTTTCTTCACTCTTTTGACATTGGCATCGCAGGAAATGATACAAATTGAAGTCTTAGAAGAAAAGAAAGATATATTGGAGATGATCAATACCGGTGAAGATATTAGGATATACGTTTAGCAACTTTATTGGATAAAAATATAATATTTCTAGGAATTAATGATGTATAACTTGTTACCCCAGTATCGTATTGGAGTGGGTGTACTCGCAAGTTGCACATGTTGCTATTCAATTTTTTATTCAAATAGTTTTGAGTCTCTAATTCCTCTACTGCATGGAAGAACAATACAATAGAGAGAAATACATATGAAAAAAAGGTCGGTGTAAGTTGTACTTTTTGTTGCGTCATCCCTTTTTTTGCTCATACATTTGCTAATATTGTTGTTTTGGGATGACGCGGGTTGTCGATACAAGAGTGAAATGTGAGCTGTGCTACCTAAAATTTTACTACTACATACCTTCTAATTACGTTTAACTATTATATTTTAAGAAAGATTTAATTTATTGTTCTTAATTTCTTCTATTTTGTATAATGTATTTTTGCATTCGCATCTTGTTATGGTTCTCCAGCTTTAAAAAATTTCTAGAGGCCCTAGGAGGAAAGAGAGAGAGAGCCGGCAGGGTATATATCGGGTCGGAGTTTTGAGCTAGAGAATAAAGACTTCGCCTGACGGAACAAAAAAAAAATAATTTGGTAGAGAGAGTCAAATGACATCAAAAAATTTATATACCTGCTTCAACATATGGCTTACCCCAATATTTTCAAACCAGAATTGGCGTGACGAAAGGATAATATAAGCAGATATGTGTTACTTGATGACCAACATTTGAAATGTTAATATGCTACTAATAATGAAACTTGCGTGATGGTAAATTATTCTCCAATGGAAATATTACTCAAACTTTGGGAGTGCAGTCCAAATAAAGATATATAAATTGTAAATAACATTTAAATTCTTGACTCTTAAGAATAGTGTTCCAGTTTTCAAGAAGACTATTGATGTACCCAAAAGAAAAATAACTAACAGCACGTTATTAAAATACTTAAACGCTTTCAACAATAGTTGTTGATATAATATTTTAGACCCACATATAATAATCAAAGTACGTCATTAATATTAAATAATTTTAGTGGATACATTAAGTGCACTAAAGCGATGAATTTTTTATCAAATTTTGAAAGAACTTCTAAACTTAACTTGAAATATATGAAAAGTTCAAGAACTCATTATTCAAAGATGTCTTTCAAAAACCGGGAACTATTTATTCAAGAGGAGGTTAAAAGGATTGAGAATTGGTGGAGTTCCCCAAGATTTAAAGATATAAAACGTATATATACTCCCTTGGATGTAATTAAACATAGAGGTAGTCTGGGAATATCTGATGTTAAATATCCATCTTCAACTCAAGCTATAAAGCTTTTTAATTTATTAGAAGAAAATTTTAAGAAGAAGAAACCTTTACATACGTTAGGTGTTATTGATCCTGTTCAAATGACCCAATTGTCCAAATGTGATGACATTAAAGTGGCTTATGTGTCGGGTTGGGCATGCTCATCAACAATGGTTGGTTCAACTAATGAAGTGTCCCCAGATTTTGGGGATTATCCGTATGATACGGTACCAAATCAAGTGGAACGAATATTTAAAGCTCAAAAGATGCATGATAGGAAATCATTCTTAGAATGTATCGAGAAAGATAAACCTTTAATAGACTATATGAAACCAATTATAGCTGATGCTGATATGGGCCATGGTGGTGTGACGACTGTAATGAAATTAGCTAAACTTTTTGCAGAAAAAGGTGCCGCGGGTATCCATTTAGAAGATCAATTGGCTGGAGGGAAACGTTGTGGACATTTGGGCGGAGCAGTTCTTGTTCCAACTTCAACTCATGTGAGTAGATTAATCGCAACACGTCTACAATGGGATATTATGGGTGTCGAAAATTTAATTATTGCAAGAACAGATTCATGTAATAGTAAATTAATAAGTAGTAGTTGTGACCCTAGAGATCATGAATTCATTCAAGGGATCATAGATATTAATGCTCAACCATGGAGTGAAAAGTTAATTGATTTAGAGAGACACAATGCTACAAGTTTAGAAATGTCTAGAAGTGAACTTGAATGGTATAATACGAATAAATTAGTAACATTTGATGAAGCAGTTCAATTACAAGTTACATCGATTCAATTTGAAAGATATATTGAAATTAAAAAAAAATTAAAATTTAGTGAAGATAAAAATTATTTAAGTTTAGGAGAAATGAGAAAAATTATTAAACAAGTTTGCCCAGAAATTGAAATAAAATTTGATTGGGATTTACCACGTTCATCAGAAGGTTACTATATGTTTAAAGGTTGTATGAATGCTGCAATTAGACGTTCCCTTATTTTTACACCATTTTCAGATTTAATTTGGTTAGAGACAAAGACACCAAATATTAAACAAGCTAAAAAATTTTCAAATGAAATTCATGAACAATATCCAAATACAAAATTAGTTTATAACCTTTCACCAAGCTTTGATTGGAGTAAACATGGTTTTACTGATATTAAATTGAAGAATTTTATTTGGGATCTTTCCAAAGAAGGATTTATTTTACAATTAGTATCATTAGCTGGATTACATGTAGATGGTGTTTCGTTTTGGGAATTAGCTAAAAATTTTCAGAATGATGGAATGTTATCATATGTAAAATTAGTTCAAGAGAAAGAAAAAAAGATTAATTGTGATCTTTTAACACATCAACGTTGGTCAGGAGCTGAATATGTTGATTCAATTATGAAAGTTGTGCAAAATGGTTCATCTAAAACTTTAAGTACAACTGGAGATAGTTTTACTGAATCTCAATTTTAAGATTCAAAAATTAAATTTTCCTTTACATCTTATATCCATTTGCTTATACATATACATATATATATTTATATAAAAAGATGTTGATTCATTTTTCTTGAATGCTTTAAGATTGATTATATGTTTGTAATTGTGTCATTTTATTATACCGCTTTTGAAAAACGAGACCCAAAAAATGGTATTAATATTAAAATATAGCTAATATTTATTATCTGAAAGTTCAAAATATTAGAAAATATTAATATAAAAAATGTTTCTTACGGTATTTCACCAATATAGAATGAAAATCATATTATGTTACGGATACAAAAAGAAAGATAAAGAGAAAGAAAGAAAAAAGTTCGTATAAGTATAGCAACAAGTTTAAATTATTATCCTTTTAACAATGTTACAAATTTAGGCCAGATCTTACTTAACCCTTATTTATGCATTAAGAAGGATATAATTTAATTGCGACTATAAACATATTAAGAAATGTTTTAAATTTTATTACAGAAATAGAGAATATTTCCACATTAAAAAGGGGGATAGATAGATGATATATATCACTTTGATTTCCTAAATAAGAATTTGAACTGGCCTTTATCATAATCATTTACATTTTCTATTAACAAATGCTATGCCAATCTTGTGAAGTAAGTTTATAATAAAATATGTAAAATTAAGGGATAATTTAAATTTTAAAACTAATTAATTACAAGGCAATAAAATAAAATAAAATAAGATAAAAAAAAGAGTGACTAACCCATATTCCAATTTATTCCAGATATCGTAAAAAAAAAGGATGAAGCACGGAATACCATGTGGTTACTACTTTAATTACACTTAACCATCTCGGTATCTTCTTTTCGAACTAAATCTATATTTGGAAATATAGTTTTACACATTCATTTTTTTTTGTTGTTGCGACATAATTTAATTTCTTTTTAAAACCCAGCAAACAAAATTTATGTTACTTAAACTATTACGTGATTATAAACACCCATACACCGCATACATATAATTTTTTGTATAATCAATTACGTATTTTTCTTATTCTCTTGAAGCACAGTGCTAAACAATCAAAACAAAATTACTTGTAAGAATTTTTTCTCTTTCAAAAAAATTGTGCCGGCAAACCGTCAAATTCTTTATTTTTAGCTTTGAAATATTGCCACACACATCTTTCCATTTACGTATTCTTCACCCATACATCGCATACAACTCTACATATACACGACTAATTACAAAAAAACAAAATCCAAAAAACCTGATTTAAATATTTTTGCACAGTGATACTCGCAGTAATTTGCCCACATATATGGTAGACATACTCATACAATCTCTCCATTGTGTAAATACTCTGTACGTAATATATTCTCTGACATTATAATAAGTTCTATTATTGAGCGCGGGGGAAAGAGGCGAATGAGGTCGAAGCAAAAAAAAGACAAAAATCTATGTGCAGAGCAATTCAATTTTATTTTAGTGCACGTTGTGCAAGACATTCTGGGTATACGAAGGGGAGAGTTAGTAAAATAACTTTTTCTTTTCTCTCAAAAACACAATAAATAAAATAAGATATTAAAATGGCAGGACTGTCTCTACATGGTATGGTGATTCCTTTATTTCTACCCTTTTTAAGAGACAAGAAAGACAGCATGTACGCATTTGGGAACCATATAGTGGGAGAGAAATGAAAGAAAATTTTGTACGTGAATTTAATACATATTATTACGTAGATGATACTTATTTGATACATGAAATATATTAAAATTTAATGAAGTAAACAAAGAGCAAGATAAATTTCTCTCTTTTCTATTTAGAAATCTCTAAGGGTAAAAATAAAATAATAAACAAAAATTACGTTATTTTCTTTCTTCTTTCTAGTCTGTTGTTGCAGTTAGTTAATACCATATACGTATATTCTCTTTCTTGATAAACTTATTCATAATTTTTGATCATAATTTTTTTAAACACCCCCCACTCAGGCAATATATCAGAATAGATTTAATGTATCAGGGACTTTATTGAAATTTTCTATTATATAATATAGATGTAATCTCTCAGTTAAACGTAAAAAAATATAAATATTTTTCGATGATCATTAATTAATTTTATCCTTTTTTATACTTGAAACACACACATATATATATATATATATATAGAGTTATACTCAAAAAACAAACAAACTTTGATAAAATAAATCAATACAAGTAATTATAAATAATAAATTCTAATCCTAAACCAAAATATCAAAATTTAAATCAAACAAAATATTGTACTATACTATATTAATTATATTCAAATTAAAATGAAACTAGATAAAGAACCAACAATTCCAGTTAATGGTTATATAATAAAAAATCTTGTTTGTCAGACAAGTACATTTAAAGTTTGTGATGCAATAGACATAAATGGTAATTCATTTGTTTTAAAAATTATACCAGCTGATATTAAAGTTAATCTTTTAAAAGAAGAACATGTAATTGAATCATTTGTTCATAATGATAAATTATTTATTGTTTATGCTGAAAATAATTTTGCTAAAGAAGGTCAAGATTATTTTTCTTATTATATGGATGAATCATCATCATCATTATCTATTGATAATAATAATAATAATAATAATTTAACTAGTGCGGGCACTGGGATAATTAGTCCTTTATTAGATAATGAAAAAAAGAATACCACATCAACTACTACACGTTTATGTTTTGATGATATTTCAATGATATCACATTTAAAGAAGAAAAAAATGTTTGGAAATATTAGTAATAGTTGTTCAAATAGATTAAGAACACCAATTCCAAAAAATTGTAATTTTATTTTACCAGGCACTCCAGAGAGTGATATATCTTTATCAGAGGAAGAAACAGATTCTGAATGTGATTCAAATGATAGTTTTGATGACGATGATGATGAAGATGACGAAGAAGAAGAAGAAGAAGAAGATGGTGATGGCGATGATATTATCGAAGTAGTCACACCAATCAATAAGAAACTAGATGAATCAGTTAACAATGAATTAATTCCTATATTAAAATCTCATAGTGATGATGATGAAATTTCAAATATGATATCGACAGATAATTTTAGTAATAACAATACATCACCAATTCATAAAAAAGAACCAAATTATGTTAGTCAACCTTCACATATTCATATTCAATGTCCATTAACAAGAATAATACACAGTAAGCATACAACTATTAGAAAAACTCCAATTCCAAGAGAAATGTTACTTAACAACAACAATAATAACGATGATACTTCTTTTCAATTCAAACAAAACAAAACACGTACCAATACCTCGTGTGGTGAACCGTTTAAATTAGAGATGGTAAAGAGTTCGATGTTGAGAAGAAGAAGTTCAACTAAATGTCAATTTTCTACATAATTAGTTATTATACAAATAGAAAATTAACTTATGACAAGAACAGTCATAGTAATAACCATTTCATAATTTACATAGTCATTTATTCATATCCTATTTAAAGAAACAGTAAAATGAATATACACACAATTTTTTTGCATTAATAATAATATTAAAGTCCTCAAGGAACGTTATATAATTCTATGTTTGTTAGTTATTATACCAACATAGATAAATTAGCATACAATTAGAATTACAGAGAGAAAAGAAAAAATAACAAACCCCGAGAATTCTTTTAAATTGATTTTATACGGGAAATAAAGAGAGAAGTCATTTATTCCCCCCTTACATCTACAGTCAAAGATTCGAAGAGAACTGGAAGGAAGAAAAAAAAGGAAGAGGAAGAAGAAGAACATCTCGATTTTTATTTTAAAATTTAATTTCGCAAGAGACTCTGAACGAAGAAAACAAGAGATTTAAAGAAGAATTAGAACTGAAAAATTGAAAAAAGTTAGCAAACATAAAGTTCGAATAATAAATAAGAAATAATATATATCAATAGTTTGTGCCTATAACCGAAAGTGTTTCTCTTTTCTTCAAATCAATTGTGTTTAATTCTGATTCGAAACAGGAAAAAAAAAAAAGTCAAAGAAATCTATCGAATATCTTCTGTTTTTATTTATTGTTATTAATAATGCTTAGATTGGTATCAAGACAGACCGTTGCGCTCAAGAAGAATTTGCCAGCATCATTTCAATCATCCAGACTTGCATCCACATTGGCTCTTCTTGAGACAACTGCAGATGGGAAACTAGATCCATCTTCTTTGAATTTATTACAGGCTGCTAAACTATTAAACAATCCAATAACAGCATTACTTGTGGGTCCTAATGCATCTAAGGGAGCCCAAAACCTTAAGGATTCTGTGAAATGTGAAGAGCTTTCAAAGATTGCTATTGTAAAGGACGAATCCTTAGCTCATTATTTACCTGAAAATATATCACCATTACTCGTTGAATTACTAAAAGATGATACCTTCTCTCATTTTGTAATTTCCAGCTCATCTACAGGTAAGAATATATTGCCTCGTCTTGCTGCATTGATTAATAACCAACCTATATGTGATATAATTAAGATTGAAGGCCCTAACAAGTTTATAAGACCAATATATGCAGGTAATGCCCTTGCTACAATTGAAACCGCTCAAGAAAAGAAATTACTTAGTGTCCGTGCTTCTGCATTTGACTCTATCGAAGAAGGTAAATCGGAAGATGTTGAAATTGTTGAGATTCCTTTTACAAATAAAGATAATGTACCAATTAAATGGTTATCTGCTAATTTGACAAAGACTGGAAGACCAGATTTAGGATCTGCAAAGACAATTGTGTCAGGTGGACGTGCATTTAAAGATAAAGAAAGTTTTGAGAAATATTTAACCCCTTTAGCTGACGTTTTAAATGCAGGTATTGGTGCAACAAGAGCAGCTGTAGATAATGGGTTATGTGACAACTCGTTACAAATTGGACAAACAGGTAAAATTGTTGCTCCAAATCTGTATATTGCTGTCGGTTTATCCGGTGCTGTTCAACATTTGGCTGGTATGAAAGATTCAGGTACAATTGTTGCAATCAACAATGATCCAGATGCACCAATATTTAAAACTGCAACGTTTGGTTTAGAAGGTGATGCATTAGATATTGTTCCAGAATTAACAGAAAAGATCAAAGCGACTCAAAAATAAGATAAAAAAATATTGATATAAATATTCATTTGAAGTTAAATAAAAACTTAAATATTCATTTTATTACTGTATATAACCGAGGAAATGTAATGGATTCACTGTTTAAAAATTATAGATGGGGGAAGAGGGTTAAAGGGAATTAAATACTAACAGAAATGTAGTGTGTTGGTGATTATCTCACTAAAACTGCTTCATAGTATTCTCAATAAACTAGTTAAAAACAAATATTATCAAGAATGTGATCTTTCGTACATACATACATACATACATACATACATACATACATACATACATATTGTTATTCGCAGAACTATCCATCGTAACAATATTGAAAAATTATCTACCAATAGACTCATATCATATTTTCTATGATATATTTTATGGTATTATTTCTGATTCGCGGCGTGGTCTGCTTTCTATTTTCACTGCTGGGTTCAATCAAGACCATGCATCGGATAGTAAATAAATCTCTTATCTATTGTAGTCCTTCTTCATTTATTTATTTAATATTTTAATCATAGTTTCTATTCTTAGCCCTTTCCCTTAATTCCGCTAAGACCTGTTTATCATTAGAATCTTTTCTACTACCTCTAAGTGGTTCTATCAATAGATTTTCAACTCGTTCCTATTATTAGATTTACAAGATAAGTTATTTTACAATAGACAACTCTGTTTTATCTCATTACTAGATGATGATTAGTATATGAAACGATTAATATTAAAGTGATATTTACCGAAAAAATAAAAATATTATTTATTGACTCACTACATTGTATTTTGTTATACCTTTCTACACTGCTCAACCAACCTTAGTAAAAGAATTCCCTTATTCAAAATGACTTCCCTGGACCCTTTAATGAATACTCAAAACAAATCAAATAACCGTTATGGGACCGTTGATATGGATTTCTCAAACTTATACTCTGCTCCAGATGTAACAGAGACAGAATCTGATATATTTTCGATCAATAAGAATAACGGGGATCGCAACCTTCTTGCATCCCCAAAGAGAGAACGTATAATTATAAACGGTAATATCAGAAACACTAAACTAAGTTTTTGGGATGTTGCTCCTTACTATATGCCTTGCTTTGTTTGGATCCGTACTTATTCATGGTCGATGTTCTTTGGCGACCTGCTTGCAGGAATATCGTTAGCGTCATTTCAAATTCCATTGGCTTTATCATATGCTACTTCATTAGCTCACGTAGAACCACTCTGTGGACTATATTCACTAGCAATAACACCATTCATTTATGCTATTTTTGGATCTGTCCCCCATATGATTGTAGGTCCCGAGAGTGCTTTATCTTTAGTCATGGGTCAAACAATAGAGAAAATAATGAGCCACAACGAGGAACTTAAATCAGTAGACCTAGCAGCAATCGTTACATTTGTTGCAGGAATCACATTACTGGTAGCCGGCATTTGTAGAATAGGATTCCTAGGAAGTGTTTTGAGTAGAGCTCTTCTTCGTGGGTTTATTAGCTCTGTTGGGTTTGTCATGGTTATAAATTCTTTAATATCTGAACTTAAATTGAACAAAGTAATGTTAGAGAGTCCAGGTCACCATCATACAGCATTTGAAAAAGCCATTTTCTTAATTAAATATGGACCAGAAAATTATCATAAGGCAACTGCAATCGTCAGTGTGAGTTGTTTTACCATTTTAATGGCAATTCGTTTCGCTAAAAGAAAATTATCAAAAAAGTTTAAATGGATTGTAATTTTTCCAGAAATTTTATTGGTTGTGGTACTAACGATATATTTATCTGTCAAATTTAGTTTTAAAAAAAAGTATGGAATAGCTGTATTAGGTGATTTTAACTCAGGGAGTTTCGAAGGTTTGGTAAATCCTGTCTCAAAAAGAAATAGATCGACATTTTCAATAATATATGAAGTAGGAATTGTTATTGCATTGCTGGGTTTTTTCGAATCCACGACTGCGTCAAAATCACTTGGCGGTATCGACAACTCTACCGTGTCATCTAACAGAGAACTTATAGCAATGGGTATAATGAATGTCGGAGCTTCAGTATTTGGTGCCTTACCTGCATTTGGTGGTTACGGTAGATCAAAAATTAATGCAATGTCTGGTGCCAAAAGTGTGGTATCTGGTGTATTTATGGGCTTGATTACCTTGTTCACTATACGGTTTCTATTACCTACTATTAGATACACCCCCATATGTGTTCTTTCAGTAATAACTACAATTGTGGGTATCAGCCTACTAGAGGAAGCACCTAATGATATTAAATTTCATATTGCGTGTCGGGGTTATAATGAATTGGTTATTTTTACACTAACATTTTTAACAACAATATTTTATTCTGTGGATGTTGGAATCAGCATCGGTTTTATTTATTCCCTTCTTTACATTGTCAAAAGATCAGCAAAGTCTCGTATTCAAATTCTTGCAAAAGTTGAGGGGATTGACCACTTTGTTAATGCTGATGAATATCATACTTACCACCATAGTGCCAACTCATCTGAGGTCCTAAACCTGGAACATTTCAAAGATTGCCTTATAGTGAAAATTCCAGAACCACTAACTTTTAGTAATACTGAAGACCTAAAAGAGAGATTGGATAGATTAGAAAGGTTTGGATCCGTAAATACACATCCAGGTTCAAGGGATATACGTTCTAGGGGAACTGTGAAGTTTGTCATATTTGACCTAAAGGGGATGACTTTTATTGATTCATCTGCAGTTCAAATTTTAAAGGAAATTATAACGGACTATAATGAAAGAAACGTTCAAGTACTCCTTTCAAGGGTACCGTTTAATAATGAAGTCAGATTTAAACTACAAAAATCAGGAATTTCTGATTTAATTATGAAATACAGGATACCTAATAATATAGATATGATGACCAATTCAACCACAACAAGCGCACAGTTAGGAACTATGATATTAGATGCACCTTACTTCGCCAATGTGGAAGAAGCTATGTTCGCAATAGAATGCGCTGTCAACGCTAACTTCCCATGATGTGTAATATCTACATAAAATATTTATTGCAATATGTAATCTTTAGTGGGTATATATGGACATTTTTAATATATTCTTTATCATATACAGAATTTCCTTTTAATGGTGACTTTATTTGTTCATCGGTATGACAATGATTCGTATTACAGATAATCTTATCAATCTCTGAATTATTGAAAAAAATAATTTAAAAAAATGCGCAAGCCCGGAATCGAACCGGGGGCCCAACGATGGCAACGTTGGATTTTACCACTAAACCACTTGCGCTTTTAACTTATGTTCTGTGGTATTTTGATACTCGGATCGGAATCTTAAAATTATATATTCGTCTTTGTTATTTCTATATAAATCCATTATATAAGCGAGAGACTCATAATCTGCGATAAGCTCTCTTTATATAAGATATAGATTTATATACTCAATATAGTTAAGCTCGTTAACTCCTCTAATTCCGTGTTATGTCTACCTTGTTTCATATTTCTTAGTCATTGTAAATCATTCCTTTTTAGTTCATTGTTAGGTTTTAGATATGCTTCAACCTAATTGGTTGATTCTTTTGAGTCGTCATTCTTTAGCACGTGACAAAGTGTCACTTGACTTTTAGTCTGTTTCAAATACAATA